TTCTGACAAGAACAGTTTTTCCCTGAAAGTCTGTGATATGTCTAAGCTGAAGGACAGGGAGCAGCAGAACAAAAAGGCACAGTGTTTTGAAGAAGAAAAGGTGCTGGGTGAAGCGCTTTTATGGATGCAGCTTTTTCAGCTCCTAAGTGTTTCTTTTGAAATAGTCTGAAAAAGGCACCTGTGATCTAAATAGAGACCCAAGCCTTAACATTTTCCTCAGGATGGTTTCCAGCTTACATATCTGCAGCTCGCAGAGACACACATTTGTAACAGTGCTCCTATCTGCGAAACCAGCATCGGTAAAAACATACTCTGACTCCAAGTCTCAGACAGCATGTGGCCAACAAAGAGCAGTTGTCTTTGTTCAGCTGGTGCAGGAGAGGGAGGAGTGAGCAGGGAGGGATAAGGATGGAGGATGGGGAGACGCACAGATTTTCCCTTCTCAGTACGAACACAAAAAGAGCTGAAAAGCTGTTTTTTTCCCCCTGCTCTAATCACACATAAATGCACGCATTTGCAATTCTGCCTGTTAAGTCTCAGAAACCTGAGCTGAATATTTAAGAGAGAAACTGTATTTACTCGGATGGGATTAAACGCTGGGAAATACAGACAAGTGACAAGTTAAAGGCACACCAGGAAAAAGTGTTAAAGCAAAGTACCCTGTCAGAGCAGTCTCAGAGCATCGTGGTACTGATCCCTGAAGGCCTTAAAGCTCTACAGATGAACATAATTCTTCGCCTCAACTGATGAGGTGATGTCACAACATGTGCACCAATTCACCAACAGTGAAGGTCTGCCGTGCTGTAACCATCCATACAAAATCAGAAAAAGAAACTAACAGTAAACCTTCCTGTTCTCCTCTGCTGTCTTTGTTAGGTTTAATATTACGTCATTTCAACAAACTGGTGAGAAAAGTTTAATAGCACTACACCCACAATAAAGACGTCTTTCACAGTATTTTAGGGAAAACGTGTCACATAATTCAAGAATGATTTTACAGAAAAGCACTTTCCTCTCTAGAATTCTCAGTAATGTTGTGAATAAAGAGTTTCTAAAAAAAAAACATGTTTACAACACATCAGTAATGCACAACGGCAATTAAATATTAATGTTGTCGGAGTGAACTGAAAGAGATAAATATATGCTGGTAGATGTTGACATTTGTTTTATAGTGAATGTAAAAACAGTATATCTTTAATAATTTATCTTAAAAGGAAACAAATGAGTATAATGGTCATTTACATCTATATCAAATACACACACAGCATCAGAAAGCATTGATTTCTTTTTTCAATCCGGCTAAACCAACTACCTGTGTCAGACAAATCTAAATTAGGATCAGTCCCCGAGAGCCTCCCCCTAAATTGCTTTGCTCAGGAGCAATTAGAAATGGATCTGTTGATTTTGTTTCGCGACATCTGATTGGTTACAGAGCAGCTGGCTCTAATGTGGACACAAATGCGAAGTGACACAGGAGACAGCGCCTCATCACCTTTGCGGCCATTAAAACAAACTCTGATTAAACATTTAACACTCCAGTCCCGCAAATGGACAAAAGCAGTGGACACCGGCCAGCATGTGACCGCATTCCTGGGTTCAACACAGGTAGTGATTAATGAAATTCACAGGTAATGTGGAAAAGACTTTTCTGCTTGAAATACTCGAAAGCTGTCTCTTATTTACAAGTTTAACTGAAAGTCTAAAAGACTGCAACTTCCTAAATACAGATTTGGGAGCGATATTGATCTTCTAATCTCTCAACACATGTATTCCCCAAGATTGCCACCTTGACTCGCTACTGCAGGGAACTATGAAGCCTCCTCACTGAATTCAGTCGAGCATATAATGTTCAATCTATGTTGAGACTGAAAGGTGCTGATCCAACTCAGAGGGGAGCTTCTCAGGCTGTTTGTTGCCTTTCATGTCAGGCTGCATGATATTGTCTTTCTGGTTGTTATTGCTTTTTACAACTGGCCAGTCCTGAATATGAAATGACATGAGCCAAGCCAAATGAATTGTTACACCAATATTACACCACACATAGGGGGGTGTGGATGTGAACTGAAGACATTTGTAGTTTTCGAGGTGTGTTTTTCTGGGTCAACAATGGTAAGAATGGTGTAACTGTGAGATATAACAAGGTAACACACGTGTTGTGTGTTCACAGACAGACATCTGCTCCGGTTACCAGTGAGGACCGCATCAAGCTGCTCATTTTAATGCCAGTTTAGTCAAGAACATCTTTTTAGACCAAACACATTACCTCACCTCTTGTGCAGCAGCCTTACAGTACGTGTTGTGCATACTGCGGATTAATTCAAACAAACATTTCTGGGAAATATTGAGGACTTTATCTGTTCACTTGCAGCGATTTGCAGTCTCCGCGTGCGTTCATCTCCATCTCGGAACGCATTTAATTTTCCTCTGAAAACCATCTCCTTTTCACATCTAATATTCCCAACAGCTAATGCAGAAAATAAAGGGACTGACAGGTAGAATAAGCTGTCTTTTCCCCAGCAGAGTTAAGCAGCTAAACGATGTGGGGGCTTGCAAAGGTAAAACAGAGGGCACATGTTTCTTCGTGACTGGTTTTCCCAGATGGTCGTGTGGAAGGAGCTGTGTGATCAGAGATCTAATAAACCGGTGGAAGTGCTGCATCGCCTATCCTGACAGGGAGTTGTTACCATGGTGACCACACCACAAGCACGGCAGGTTAATGGTGGGAAATTATGATTTGCCGGTTGGAACTCGCACACACTCAAACACTGACTATTGGACCAACTTTAAGCTCTCTGTGGTGGTAGAATGATGCCAGCAGTTCCCACAGTGCTGATTTCACTCTCTGCAAAGGCCTTCATAAGGCCTCCTGCAAACCGAGGTCAATTCCAGCAATACGCAAGTACTTCATTGGTTTTTGCCACATATACACTGACGGATGTAAATCGTGAATCTAAAAAGACATAAGCATTCAAATCATACAACAAATAACATGGGTGTTGGATCGTTCTCTGAGGGCTTTCAATGGAAGAACTGAGACTGACTATCAGAAGGCTGGTGGTTCAACTCTGTGCCGCTTGTCAAAAAGTCCTTGGGCAAGACAATGAATCATAAGCTGTCTGGTGTGAGAGTGCATGTGTGAATGGCATTGATATAAAAAAGCCATTATAGTGGTCAGTTAGACTAGAAAAGAGCTACATATGTATAGTTTATTACCATGTACCTTAAAAACGTGTCATATGATCATTTACACTATGTAAAACATTAACTGTCTTACTAAAAAAAAGACTACATCTTTGGTTTTAGACATGTTAGCATAAGATTTTCAACTTTAGATGCAGGTGAACTGATTCCCCAATCCCGATAAAATTTGGCAAAGCCAAACTAATTACGAGGGCTTTGAACTGCTCTGACATGTTTGGCATCATAAAGTCAGCTATGAAATAAGGCAGGCTGCTTTGCCTATTCCTTCAGGTGACTAAAATAACAGTTAGTTACAAATAATAAGAAATTGGTCATTGTGGTTAACAACAATGGCCTCAAAGCTCTCTCATCAAAGCTATTTTCTCTCTATTGAACGGATGATATAGCAATTAATTAATAATTTACTGTAGGTTCAGTAGGTTAATAGTAGGTTTGGATAGGCAACCAAAACCTTATAGCTTTCTTTGTGCAGTAAAAACATGGGCCACTTAGTAGGAAAAAAGCCCTTATTTCTAGGGTTTAATCGAAACTATTCCCAAAGAAACACTAACAACATTTAACAAGAATGTGTTGATTCTCTGTGAGTTTATAAATTCTGAAACTAAATGTGAAACTACAATGTAAACCTTTAAACGACATCTGCTTATACTTTGTTCTCACTACACAGAGACAGCCCTGTTCCTCCCTGGTGGCCACAGTTCAGATGAAGAAGCAGCTTGGCAGCTCCCAAAGAAGCAGCTCAAACAGAGAGCGATGAAACATTGTCATTTTCACTGCACTCCTTAGAGAAGAAAGAGAAGGGAGGGAGATAAAGAAGAGGGAATAACATCTGAAAAAATGACCAATCTAAATTAAAACACGCATTTCTTTTTTAAATCATGTTGAGGAGACATGTTGGCCATCTCACATCAAGTTGTGAAACTTGACTTAAGTACACGTATGTGGTACAACTTATAATGCATTTTTTAAATTAGAGTGGGTAACATTTTAGTTTTGGGGGTTACCAGTTCCTTCTTCACCATTTCTCACAAACAAACATGTGCCCTATTTTGACTGTATCTCTCGTAGGTCCGGGAGAGAAGCTGTGATGTTGTAAGGGCTCTCTACACCGTCACTGAACACAGCTTTTGTGTTATGGACATCATTTTTCCATTATCTCAAACAACATGACAGTGTCACAGTGACATCAAATTTCCCTGCAAAGCAGTTATCTGCAAAAATAAAGCATTTGGTATCTTTTGATCATCTATATTGGATGTCTTGAACATGGTAACATGAGCCATTGACACAGTCAATTTGGCTGTTAGTATAAAGTAGAAGGATGGGTGAATGGGGAAAACTAGTAGAAGTTTCTAATTGTAGAGCTTTGCATTCTGTTTTAGACATGTTTACAGCATGATTCCGTGTGAGACTGGGCTAGAAAGCATCACATAGGTAAACCATGTACATTTATCATCTGGAGGGGTTAGGTCGTAGTGAGCCGGGCAGATAGAGATTTTTAAATCGGATTTTTACAAATAGACTTTTCCATGATAATTCTCTTTCTGGGTTGCCTGGATAATTACGCTGGATTTCTAAAATTGCATTTAAGTATATATAGATGTATTTCTAACAAGACTCCGAAATCTATCCTCTAATATGGCAACACTTTAAAACAAAAAAAAACTGTAATATTATGGGGGAAAAGGGAAAGAACTTAATTATTTTGGCACCCGAGGAGTGACAAAAGCCAAGAGAGCAGCAGAAGTGTGAAACAATAACATGTTGTCAGTGGTCTCAGATGTCACCGGGGTCCTCCCGCAGCTTCATCGCGCCATCATTTGCACATCGCTGCTAGTGGCCGGCAGGGTGGGACTTTTGTTCCCATGGTAGCGATGACAGAACAGATGGCGAGGTTGCCTGTTTGGGCAACAACAGTCGATGTCAGGCGTGTTCCAGTCCAGCTGACCTGCGCGGGGGGCAGCTGTTCGTCTCTGGACGCTGCGCGCTGCTGCCTCTTTCACTTCTGAAGCATCATTGTGTTCCCGAGCAGCTCCCGGAGTCCAGCGGATACTACAGCCACCTGGGTGTGTTTTCCACAGGTTTTTCCGGTTAACTGAACTGCTTTTTTTTTTTTTAATGCCCCAAAACATAAACGGCACCCCTCACGCATCCTCCTCGAGCTGCGGATACTTGCTGGTGCCTGCAGCATTCTTGCGTATCCGGAGGAGCCAGTGCTTCATAGGTGAGAGAACATCTATTTGTTTCATGCATGTGCTGAATTTTGAGTTTTTTTTTTGTCGAATCCAGTTTAGAGTCTCACAATAGGTAAAATGAATCAGACTACAATGATCAAATGAAGTGATCTCGTTTGCGTTTTACGAACTGCACACACCAACAAAGATGGTATGAAACAATTAGTGGAACCTCGTGTTGCAGCCCGGCAATAGGAAATATTGTTTTGAAGCCGAACAAATAAAACGTAATTTAGCCTATACGGAAAATTGATCCCAAAACAATCCATAAATATTGATGATTGCGCAGCATTTATTTTAATGCGTGCGCTTGATTAATCTCATCAATAACATGTCTTTTTGCAGAACGTGGTGCATGATCACTGTAAGCCTCTGACAAGAACAGGCGTTCACAGAGGAAATGAAAGAGGAAGAAAAAGCAAAGGCATTATGGACCAAAGCTTTGGTCCATCATGTGAGGGACGTTGTGAGGGCAAAAGAGTGAGTGTGTCCGTCTCCAAATGCCTCAACAGTAAACCTGGATACAGCACTTCCTCACACCAACTAATACTGGTGTGTGGATTTAAAACAAACTGCAGCATCACCCAGATTTGTGCAGACTGCTGAGCTGTAGCCTTTGTTTCATCAGCTAATCAAATTCTATTTGTGCCTGAGGTTAAACCAGCCGGTTTCAGACACCTAGGCAAGGAGGAGAATGTCATACCCACATTGTTTATTCACAGAAGTTGAAAAGAAAAAAATTGTGGGGCTCTGCGTCTTTCTGGTCACCTTTGTCAAGTAGTCTCTGTTATCTCTTCATTACAGTTTACTTGTTACTGTCAACATTAGTGCAACAAAAAGAAGATAGGATCACTAATATTTGGACTCATTTGTCTCTTTCAATTGTATTGATCTTAAAGAGAAAAATTATGCACTTTCTTATGTCCTATATATATACACATATGTGAGTGTGTGTGTCTTTGTGTGTGCAAAAGCACAACTTTGTATGCTGACTTTGTCCTGTAAATAAAAGGACACAGTTGATGCAGATGCCACCTAGTAAGCCAATCATAGGGCAGTTCAGGAGGCTATAGTACCTTCCCCCCGTCTTGGCAAACACAAGGCCCTGTGACGTATCACCTTCAGTGATGAGGAGTGTGAGAAAAATCCAAAACAAAGACACGTCTTGGTGTGACTGTGTCTGTTTGGGTTGGAGCCATTGTGCGCAATAGGTCTGCCTCTGCAGCGTGTGCTGGTGTCTGGTTTCCCACAGCGATGGAGGGGACACAAGGGTGCCACAGCCATAGCACCCCCTTCAAGAAAGTGACCTGAGGGGAAATGTGGAAATACCATAGACCACTGATAAGTCAAGATATTGTGACTGCGGCTTTGCCTTTGTTTCCATTAAACAAAAATAGAAAATGAAAAAACACAAAAAAAACATTTTGGATATTTATTTTTTCTAAATGGATTGCAGTGCCAGAGGATAATTAAAGACAAGACAAACTGATTCATTGTGAAAGTCATTAGAAAGCACATGCACTTTAAGAAGCATTATTACCGACATGCTTTCATTGACTTATAGGTCAATTTGAACAGCACAGGTTAAATTTCCCTGACATCTGCATTGTTTTAAGTAGGTATTCCCCAGAGATGGGACACTCTGCTAAGACACCATGATTGATCGATGCACCAGTGACAATGTTTGGGGTTTTCGCAGACACTGCCAAGGAGAACTGAGGAGGAGGAGAAAGATGTGCGCATAAGGAAGAGAGATGAAAAATTAAAGCTAGAAAGGAGAAACAAATGTGTCAGGATCCATCTCTGCTCCACAGGGAAATAAGGCTGCCATATGGATTTGCGGTAAATAGAAATCCAGAGGCGGTTCTTGAAACTTTAAACCTCAGAGACCATTCTCAAGTATACAGCATTATTTTCATCCAGTCCAGACAAACACAACACGATATTTTATCGTTGTACTTTCGGTCTTGTTGTATTTTTGAGCTAATAAAAGTCCTTCTGCGGAGTTGTAGCTGAAGCAGAGCACTCATTCCTCTCCTTTATGTGTTCTCTCTGACTGGGTGGAGAAGGATCCTTCTGCTGCTCAACTATTCTTCTCAGCTTTTCGGCTATCAGCAGCTGCACCAAAGCCGTCTGTGATGTGAAGTGAGACGCTCGCATACTAATGGAGAAGATGCATGATGCTTCTTAGGCATGGCGGGGTAGTGAAGGCATGGAGAAAAATGATGCTGTTTTTCCGGATTAAAACATTACATTTTTCAGTACAGGTAATTTTCATGTAAAAATCTAGAAACATTTTAAATAAGCATATGGACAAGTCTCAGACGTGCCACAAACATTTGCATTTCAGGAGTTTGTGTTTGCTGGTCATTCTGTATGCACAATATTTACATGCATGGCCATGTGGGCTGTTATTCTTGTTATGTTGTGTTACAATCTCTTTCTTGCACCAACGGCAGCTTTGGCTGCCTGACGGCACTGAGAACTTCTCCTCTCCTCTCAGCTGGTTACAGAACAGATATGCTGGTGGCATAGCCGTTGCCATGGTGATGGCATCTCTGAGTTGGATGTGTGGTTGCTGATTCAGAAGCGCTGCTCACATTTTATTCCCCGTGTGATAAAAGGCCCCAGAAACAGATGGGTGAAAGCATTGCCTCCGATGAAAAATGATGCAGTGTGATGTCCTGCTGGCTCTGTCCGTGGCTCACGGCAGCTAAGTATAGAATCAGCTGCGATGCACTGAAACCCTGAGCCCGAAACTCAGTTACAACTTAATTGCAAATAAATAATTTCGTCTTAAGCAAAGCATTTTGTCAATTACGATTAAAAAATGTCTGAGCTCAACTTTGAATAGAATTGGTGGAGGACATCTTGCCACCTGTATTGTTAAGGGAACTGTTCTCATCGTTATAAGGCCCAAACATGAAATCTCACTATGACCACAGTTACATGTTCCTGTCTTATTTTTGTATCTCGGGGAAAGTGATCATCTGAAGCTTTGTATGAACTGATTACAAATATTTGGTTATCTTGTTACAGAGGTAGCTGCAGAATGACGTAATCGTGATCTGTATCTGTAAGGTATGCCTAGATTAAAACCTCACTTTGCTGGGAGAGTGCGACGAGACAGTAAATCCCACAGCTGGAAACTTCAACTGAGACAGTGAGCTGGATAAAACCAAGCTTTTGAAGGATTTTTCTGCATCTCTCCAGTAGTCTGCAAGAGGATGAATGTCAAAATCAGTGAGTCAAAGAAGGGTGGCGGTGATGGAATGGAACTAAATGTGTGCTATGTGAGGAGTGTCGGGCTGGAAGCATGCTTTTTAAGGGACAATTCTCTTGCGTTTCAGCCCAAAGATTAGCAATAGATGTTCAGAATACAGCTGCTCACACATAACTGGTATGAGACCTACTCTGGCAATCAGAGTAATAGCCAAATCTTCAACCTCTGCCTCTTGTCTGAGATCAAGAGTTCATTATTGTGCGTATATTTGATATTACCTTGATGTGCAACATGGAATTTATCTGTAACAGATGGGTTCCACTTTGTGGAATTGCTCCTTTTATTTCAAGCATCAAATCAAATCAGTATGGGAAAAATCTTACTCCTTAGCACAGTGAAAGAGGGTAAGAGGTTATGAAAAGATGTGAAGCCATTCCTACTTTCTCAGTTGAGATGGTGTGTGGCCAACTATTGATATCCATCGGCACACATGGGAAACGTGTGAGAATGAATTTGCGTACTGCAGTGATTATTAAGGATGGCTATTATTGAAATAGCGGATACTTACTCAGTGAACCTCCTTTGTGTCAACAAGGTCACACACACAGTGAGAGATAGGTGGGAACGGATGCAGACCCCCACAGAGTTGCCAGGCTGCCAGAAACTTGGTGCCAGGTGTCTAAGTTTGATGGCCTCAGCATGGAAACAAAGATCACTGGCATGCCTCCCCCAGTTTGATTTCTGTGCAGGGAAACTTGTAGAGGAGAAGAAAGGACAGACGAGCATATACACTCATTCCATACCATGCAAGTCCCAACATCCGAAAGCACTGCATGGATACAGCCAGTTATTGAAATGTGTAACTCATGAATGGACCTTTCTAATAGGTTGGATGATAGTTGATTAAAAACAGAACGTTATGCCACATGTTACAGTTACTTCACATAAAAACCTATGAAGTGAGCAAAGCAAAGGTGCAAGGAGAGTAAAGGAGGAAGATTTTTCGGCATTCAAAGGGGTCGCTACAGAGTTCAGCACCTTAAACTGAACTCCATTCTTGCTCAGAGCAACAATATGGGTGACCTTTGAATCTTTGTTTGTCTGTTTGTGATAAGTTTATTGAAAACTGTTTTATTCCATTTAATACTAGCCCTCTAGTAGCAGAGAGGACTACTGACGTTTAAGCATCTCTTTGCGGTTATCTCTAACAATGTTTGAATAAATGGAAACAATCTAAATGTGCTGTTTTTGTTTTTATATGTAGAGTTGTGTTCTCATCTGTATTTGTGGAGCTAAGCGTGCGAGCAAATGTCACATGGAACGGGAAAATAATGTCTTTGTTTTGGGAAATACTAGAAGATCTTGACAGTTCTGATGTGAAATTGTCACTGATGTGAAGTATTTGTCTGTGCCGCACACACACCCACGCCTTCTGAGATGAACAAAGGATCCTCAGTTGTAGTCAGTGAGGTTGAAGACAAATGGGATTTTCTATCAGTGTTATTTTCTATTCACGGAGTTGGCTCTTTGATTGTTTGTAACAGCTATTTTTTCACTGTCTCTTTATTATCAGAATGGTATGTAAATGGGTGCTCTGATCAGTACAAAATGGACACATTTGGTCACCAGAGGCCTGAAGTTAAAGATTTTGTTTGCTACAGTTTTAACTTGGTGTAAGGAAACAAAAAACAAAACAATTTTCGGGCAGAAATACCTGGAGCATTTAAGTGGTAGAGAGAAAAAGTTATCCATTTAAATATCAGCCAACAGTAAAATGTATTCAGTTACCACCTAAGTATTCTACATGTTTCTGAGACAGATGGACTTAAAAGATGTGTAGAAAATAAAAAGTGGTCTAACTCAAGCGTTGCATCGATGCATTAAGGTTTTGCTATGGCCCTTACTGCCCCCTCATCTAAATACCATTGGAATTCAGTGGAGAGACCTGGAAATGGTAAACCTAGAGGCCTGAAAGACTGGCTAATGGCTTAACTGGCAACAGAAAGTGCAAGCAATTACACTGACAAAAGGAGACAGCTTCTAAATAATGACCCTTTTTTTCCTGTGTCATTTTAGCCCACTTTGTTTGACAAAGGTTTGAAATGATAACAAAAGCAATCAGACTTCTAAATCAATCATCTTTTGCTCAGGAAAAGAAATTTTAACCATAGGTGCTCAAATTATTTCTATGTGTCACTTTACTGTAGAGTGCCCCAGACTGAGTTCTGAAGTTAATTTAGATTGTTAAGATTATGTATAATCTTGACATTAAGCATATGTAAAAAGAAGAAAACATCATATTATTCAGCATGTCAAGCCTTTTATTGAAATGTAATTGCATTGATTACATCTAGCATCTTGCTCAGAGCATATTTTTGATTAACAGTGCTGCTTTATTTCTTCAATAACAATTGAGGGTCAATACATTTTGTCTTTGCAATTAATCTTAACATCAATTAAAGGGGTCCTCTGACACCAAATAACTAATACAAGCATAAAGCAAAATTACAATTTTCTTGACCTTCTGATCATCAATCACTTAAAAAAACAGATTCAACACAACTGATTAATGTAAACAAACTGATAAATTCACCTCATATATCTTTGAGTGCCTAATATGAGGCTGTATAAGTAGCAGGCGATTAACAGTGGAGAGCTCACACTCCCTGCATATTAAGCTTGTTGTGTAACGGGCTCACAGCCAGAACTGCAGGCTGTGGTCACCTCAGACTCTTGTTCAAGAGGATAACTGATACTAAGCTGGAGTGCAGATAATCATACAAACCCAGAGCGCAAATGGCAATCTTTATTGTGACTCACTCATCAGGAAAGCAAAGCTACAGTAAACTTAGATACTCACAAACTGTCCATACCCAACATATTCTTCGTCCCCTAAATATCTGTCTGTTAGTATAAATGTCTGTCATACATTTATCACCTCAGTAAAACACAGTTTAGTCTAGTCTTCAGTTTTACCTACCTGGTCATGGTTAGAGTTTTCTTTTGACTTATTTATTTTAAGAAATGTATATCGTTCTGGAGTTAATATTTGCTTTGCTCATTTTTGTTTTTCAGGCTGAAGTGACCAGATGTCTGCAGGGCCTGCCTTTTACTGATACATATCTCTGGCTTAGTAAATCACCATTCTGGAGCTACTGCCACTGACTAAAGCAGCAAAGAAGACTAATGAACATTAAACATCCCATCACGCTCTTCTCGCAAACGCTGCCTCTCATCTAAAGTTTCGGTGACCAGGGAGAGGCAGATATGGCGGTCAGTTCCCAGCTTTGGCCTCCTCTAATTTTGCTGTGTGCAGTACTTTTTCCTATTTTCCCATCCCCAGTGAATGGCAAGGAATGTCCTCGTTTATGTGTATGTGAGATCCGCCCTTGGTTCACCCCTCAATCGACCTACAAAGAAGCGCCTACAGTGGACTGCAATGATTTGAGGCTGGCACACATCCCCACTAACCTGTCAGCAGACACCCAGGTGTTACTGCTTCAAAGCAACGCCATCTCCCACACCAGCGGAGAGCTACAGGCCTTGTTCAACTTAACAGAGCTGGACCTATCCCAGAACAACTTCACCAAGGTAGAAGCAGTCGGCCTCAGAAATATGAACCATCTGACCACCTTGCACCTAGAGGAGAACCAGATCAGTGAACTGCCAGACCATTGTCTGGGAAACCTCTCCAGCCTCCAGGAGCTCTACATTAACCACAACCAGATAAGCTCCATCTCCCCTCGAGCATTTGCAGGCCTGAGCAGCTTGTTGAGGTTGCATCTCAACTCCAACAAGCTCCATGTTATTGACAGCCGTTGGTTTGATGAAACACCTAATCTTGAGATCCTCATGATTGGAGAGAACCCAGTTATTGGCCTCCTGGACATGAACTTTAAGCCTTTGGGGAGCTTGAGGAGTCTAGTTCTGGCAGGCATGGATCTCACTGATGTTCCATCGAATGCTTTTGTAGGTTTAGATAACCTAGAGAGTATTTCTTTCTATGACAACAAACTAGTCAGAATCCCTCAACTCTCCCTTCAAAAAGTTCCCAATCTAAAGTTCTTGGATCTAAACAAAAATCCTGTTCACAAAATTCAGGAAGGAGACTTTCGAAACATGCTACATCTTAAAGAGCTGGGCATCAACAATATGATGGAATTAGTGTCTATTGACCGCTATGCTCTGGACAACTTACCAGAGCTGACTAAGCTGGAAGCCACCAACAACCCGAAGCTTTCTTATGTCCACAGATTAGCGTTTAGGGACATGCCCTCTCTGGAGAGCCTGATGCTCAACAATAATGGTCTTACTGGTCTTTACCAACATGCTGTGGAGATGTTGCCTAACCTACGGGAGATCAGTATTCACAGCAATCCTTTGCGCTGTGATTGTGTCATTCAATGGATGAGCTCCAACAAAACCACTGTGCGCTTCATGGAGCCTTTGGCCATGTTGTGCATCTCCCCACCAGAACTTAGAGGCCAGCGGGTTAGAGAAATTAAGCTGCTGGAGTCACCTGAGCAGTGTCTTCCCCTCATATCCCACGACACCTTTCCAAGCCATCTGAACCTTGAGCTGGGCATGAGTGTCAGTCTAGATTGCCGTGCAATGGCTGAACCAGAACCTGAAATCTACTGGGTGACTCCCCTAGGTATCAAAATAACAACAGACACTGTCTCAGAGCGCTATCACCTGAGCAATGAGGGGACTTTGAGGCTTTCTCATGTGCAAGTGGAAGATTCTGGTCGTTACACATGCGTGGCACAGAACACGGAGGGTGCTGACACATGGGTCGCTACCATCCGCGTCAATGGTACCCTTCTAGACAGTGCTCAGGTGATGAAAATCTTTGTCAAGCAAACGGAGTCTCATTCCATCCTTGTCTCCTGGAAAGTCAACTCCAATGTCATGTCCTCCAACCTGAAATGGGCCTCAGCTACGATGAAAATCGACAACCCACACATCACCTACACGGCTCGCGTTCCTGTAGACGTCCATGAGTACAACCTCACGCACCTTCAGCCTGCCACTGAGTACGAGGTATGCCTCACAGTCTCCAACGTTCACTTACAGACGCACAAGTCTTGCGTCAATGTGACGACACGCGGCGCTACGTTCGCACTCGACCTGTCAGACCAGCACCCGAGTGTGGCTGTGCTGGCAGTCATGTCGACTATGTTGGCCTTCCTCAGTCTGGCCACCGTGGGAATCTTCATCACTCGCAGGTGGAAGAGAAAAAATTACCACCACTCCCTGAAGAAATACATGCTGAAGACTTCTTCCATTCCCCTTAACGAGCTCTACCCTCCACTCATTAACCTGTGGGAGGCTGATGGAGACAAAGACAAAGATGGGAGCACAGAGGGGAAACCTTCCCCTGTCGACACCACCCGTACTTATTACATGTGGTGAGGCTAGACTAAGGACGCCTGAGTACCTCTCCAGCAGCACAAAAAGACAAACTTTTGCCATTTTGGTGCAAAAGTCAAAAAGGGGATTGCAAGTGTTTTTTGTATCCTCAGCTTTGCTAATAAGAGGCAGAGTGATCAAAAGCAGGATTTTTATTAGTATAGCGTATCGCCTTTGTCAACTCTATATCTCATAACTGTTCTGGACTCTCCAATATGGCAGCTGTATGTAGCCTTTAGGTTATCTTAGTTGCTCTGCTCAGTTTTTGTGGTGCATTTTTGGCTCACTTTCTTTTGGGTTAACAACGCTGAAGCAGGGGCAGACTGTGTTTTTGCAGCATTAGTAGAAATCAATGTTTTTTTTTATTTGTTTTGTAAAACAGTTAATCTGTTGTGCACTGATAGGTAAGAAGTTTGTACGGACTTCAAACAAAAGCTGACAGCGGGGTTTAGACTTGTTAAAATGTCTACTTAATGTTAGCAATTGTGCAGTAATGTTGTATCAACTATATCTTTGAACTTTTTGACTGACACTGCAAGGGTAGGATTTTAGTTTGCTAATCGACGTTATGATAAATGCTAGAAATGCAAGCATTTACTAAAATATCTTATGTTTTTCTTATTATTAGGTCGCACTAGAAACTTTACTCAGTTACTCATTACTTCTGTGATTTTTACTTTTTTTTGCAAACTGCATAGTTTAGAGTTTTCACATGCACTGTGTATACTAAAGAAGTGATAATAAATAGATTTTTTGTTCTTTTTCAGATTTTTTTCATTCTTTTTCTCTTGCCAGTTCTGTGCCTATTAGATCTGGTCAATAATTTCCCTCTGGCACTCTGATACACTGATTCCTAATGCTTTAAAAAAAACACTGCTTACTACACTGATCCATCAGTTTACAGAGCCACACAGCTCCCACTATTTTAGTTTATAACATTACATTTTCTCAAGAATAGATGTTATCGGTTTGATATGGACAGCTACTGCCCCCTGGAGGATGTTGAACATAATGACTACATATCTAACTGGGAAAATATAATCATCATAAAACCCAATGCCGTTAGTACCCACAACACAACGCCTTTAAAAAAATCTAAGTAAAAATTCTCAAAAAAGATTTTTTTATGACCATTTGAAGAAACTACAACATACAGTAAGAAAACATCAGTTACACTTAAAGTTGGAGCATCCATGAAGAAAAAGAGAAACAGTCTTGTGTTGGTGGCAATTTTACAGTTTAGGTAAATAACAGTTCACTTTTAGTCCTCTTTCAACTGTTGCTCACTCAGTTGAGAGAAAAAAATCCCAAGTAACTAATCATACAGCGCCACACTCACAATCCAATCAGAAACACAGATGCAATTATTCACCGATTTTGAAACTTTAGAGATCAATTCAAACATCTACTGCAACTGAATACTCTGTTTTCTTCAAAATCATCCTCAGATGCTGAACAATAAAAACATTAACACCAAATTTCAACATTTGTGTAATGCATTACCCCTGGATTAAAGACCAGGGTTAGGAAGCAGCATTTTAAGGGCGCTCTGTTCAAGACCAGGTCATCGCTTCTCCTGAGAGGCGCAGCGAAAACCAAGATTAGAGGCTGAGCTGTCTGGAGTGTTCTGGCTTCGAGCGGCACATCGGTATCTGTAACAGTAAGACTGAGGGAACGAGGGGAAAAAGGAAAAAGGGTCATTATTCCTTTTCAGTCAAACAGCAATCCTCAAAGTGCTTTGCCACTGATTTTTCACTGCTTTAAAGCTATGTTTGCTGTCACGCTCCTCTTCCACAGATCCTGTATATGTTCCTGATTCAGAATAAGCACTGAGCACTGACCTCTGTAGCCAAACTGCTTAATTTACCAAAATTAATCATTACTCTGTGTAAGTGACTCAATTTTCATGAAGCTATATTCTCATGGTGACAAATGCTAATGCAAAGGAAACTGGTGGGATCTTCAGGATAGACTTTATATATACACATATTAGAGGGAATACATATCAACACATTCATTTCATGTTAGATCGGTTTTATAAATCACCAGCATGGTCTGGCTCCTTCTTTACATTACATGTAGAGTTTTCTGTGCAAGAATTCAGCTTGCATCTGTGGATAAGTAATACAACTATCATAATCCACCTTTTTTTTTTGTCTGCTGTTGCCACTTCTACATTTTGCTTAAATGTGCCTTACTCCAAAATCTGCTAATAAGCAAACCAAACTGTTTTACAAAAGACCACATCATTTGTAATAGCTGTCCACCCAAGGTAATTATCTTTTTATTCAAATATAAACCAATGCCATCATGCATTGAGACACATAATCTATAGTAACAATAGCTTCTTCCAACTATTTTTCATCTGTAATCAGCTAAATATTGCTTGGACATTTGTCTTCTTTACCTTGTGGCACATGTACGACCCTCCCTTCTTTACTTTGTCAGAACCTGAAGGAGGGCCCGTCTGCAAGAGAGAATGAAAGGTGAAGCAAAACCTGCTTCCTGACAGTAAAGGAGAAATACTTTGATTGACGTTGTTTTTACTGGGTTGTGCTGCCGGTCTGCCGTGTGGTGCACAGTCCACCAGTCTGAGGTCCATTCCCACGCATTCCCCACCATGTCATACAGCCCAAAAGCGTTGGCAGGGTAGGACTTCACCTGCAGGGTCAATCAATTTGAAGGTGTTAACGGCGTATTTTAGGAGCAACAATAAGCATGTTCAAAAGCAGCATAATCTGCTTCATGTCTGTTTCCATGTACAGTTACAGATGTAATGTGAAGCTATAGAGGGAGGAAAAACAGTGTAACAAGCACCTAAGATGTAACCAAAAACGTGATTAAAACAGGTTTTAGGCTCTTTTCTGAAAATTAAATAGTCCAAACTGGACAAAAACTCCAAGATCGTGTGAATTTGTTCTTGCAAAGTCTGTCTGTTCCTTCTCCCTGTCAACATTTCCAGCTGAACCTATCCAGAGTGAAAATATATCACTGTAAACAGTGAAACTCTTCTGAGGAGCATTTCTCCAGTGTCTCTCCTTCCGTCTCACCGGTGAAGTTTTGATGAACCCATCTTCTCCAGTGTTGTGTGTTGGAAAATCCCCTTGCCACAGGTTAGCATAGTGTTTTCCTTTTGGGTTCAGCTTGTTCCCCCAGGGGTAGAGTCTATCAGGAAGAGTCAAACCAGGAGAAATACAAAAAGGTTTCATGCATATTTTACAATGCATTTAATAGCCAAATATCTCACCTGTCTTTCAAACCACCTCTGCACGCATACTCCCATTCTGCCTCTGTGGGGAGTCTCTTATTGGCCCAGGAGCAGTAGGCCACAGCATCGGCCCAGGACACGTGTACAACAGGGTGATCCAGTCTACCGAACCAAACAAGTTAGGCAATTATCTAACACTTACTGCATTTACCAACTTAAAATAAATTCAGAGCCATTACTGTGTATTTCTCAAAGGCTTTTTAACAGATCTGGTAGAGTCTTTAACTACCTGCCTGTGATGTTGGAGTCTGGACCCTCGGGGTGCTTCCAATTGGCCCCTTTGACTGGAAGCCACCAGGGGGCGGCTGCAACCTAATAACAGAAAATTTACCAGCTATTGAGCGAATTCTTTAATGTCTTATTTTAGAATACCCTTAGTGATGTTTTTCCAAAATCTTGTTTACAGAACTGCAGTGCTACAGGTGTTTTCCAGTTTTGCTGCACTAATGAAAAGACAGCACCCTCCCAGCCACATGATCAGGCTGCACATGACAGCTGAGATGAAGCAGTGCATTCCCTGCCTGCTGTCTGGCTTTCGTCTGCGGGAGGCCTAATGCTCTCTTACAACCGATCCGCATATGTTCTCGAGACTCTTGAACAGTAGAAGTATTCTGTTATCTTCTTGTAAACCTACAAAAAACACTGTTTTGGTTTTTTTGGGTTATGTCTTTGTGTAAGAATGTTACTCCAAACTAGTTCATACACTGTATGTCATATCACCCAGATTATATCATTAACAAAAATACACAGAAACACAACATACACACACAAGCCAGGATATCTATGTGTTTTTTTATATAGAAAACAGTCAAATGTAAGCATAATGTACTGTAAAGAGATATATTTGATAGTCTCCACTTTTTTGTTGAATTTGTATTTTTTGTGAGGTACAATGAAGCAGTGTGTAGTGTAACAGTGGAAAGTCTTTGGAGGTCGATTTGTACAGGTACATCTGACCTTTCCCCACCTAGAATTCACCTTTTGAAACATTCAAATGGCTTTTCAATCTGGACAGAAGTTATTTTTTCATGTTAGATGTTTTCTAGGTAGGATTGAAGTTAAAAAATGTAAACTCTAAACCCTGATATTTCTTTTCAAGCAGGACTCTTAGGCTCATCAGCATGCTGAACCATGCAGATGGTATTCATTGAGTTTGGTGATCCTTTGCTATGTCAGCAAATGAAAATCCCATTTTTCCAAATCCCAGAAGAGTAAGTTTCTTTTTATCCTTTATTTTTCTTTGTGATAAAAAACATTGCATTATTATTTCCTCATAAGGAGAAACTCTTCTCAACTGGAAAACAAAGCGTGTGAACTTCTCCCCCTGGCCCTGAACGCTACAGGTTTCCATGGCAACCGCCATGAGTGAGAGTGCATCTGTGAACCATTACATGGCTGTATGTGGCTCGTGACTTTAAGCGTGCAACTGTGTCCTCATTTTGCTGCCTTTATCAAAGTGAAGAGTGTTTCCAGGAACAAGTATTTAAATGACCTCCTCCAACAACGATTTTTACTCACTGCTTGGGTGATTTGACTTTTGACAGGCTCGCTCAAAATTCCCTCAAACACGAATGAGTCTCCGAACCTTTCCGCCTGAAACCACCAACATAAAGAAATATGAGGAAATAAAACAAACGGTTCAAACAAACACACCAGACCTGTATTATTGGATACCTCAGTAATGTATCCCGTGGCACTGACGAAGCTCTGAAACTGCTGGTTATTTACTTCCAGGGCGTCCATGTAAAAGGAGTCCACATAGACCACTCTCTGAGGCCCCTCACCGTCTGCGGGGATGCCGGGGTCATCTGTTCCCATCAGAAACTCTCCTCCAGAAATCCAAACCATCTGAAAGCAGGGCAACTGTGTTAGAAGTCTATGGAGATAAGTTGTGGGCATTAAATTAAGAAGATTAATGATCAAGTAAAGATGCTAAAAAAATATATTTAAAAAAATCATACTAGCAACGATTAAAATGTTGCAACATTAAAAAAAACACTGTCATCCTCATAGCAGCCAGGGAATTGTGGACTTTTTAAGGGTCTCTTTAAGGAGGTTGTCATCGCTGAAAGTGGAGCTGCAAGTCAAATCTGAACATTTATAGGGACTATAGTATGTGTCTGGTTCAAATCTGTGTGGAAACCGGTCTGTACAACTGAGTTCTCAAGGAATAAACTATATGAAATACTGTACAAGTGATTATTGGACCTTTCTCTTGAAAAACCTCATATCTGGGTCATTTTTTAAAAGATTTCTTTGGAAAGCCACACTGGTAATCTTGTTGGTCTGTGGAATCATTTCTTTTTATCTGAATGCACGATTATTCAGACTAATAGACACTTGAAGGAGCTCTGAATAGAATAACCTTATTGGATTATACCATCTTTAGACCTACCCCCCTCGTCTCTATTAAACAGGAACGCGTGCATACCAGGCTTTGTACATTCTTTCCATCTCCGTGGGCCTCGGGCGTCCTTTCATTCTCGCCTCGGGAGTATTTCCACGCCGGCTCTGCGTGGGCTGCCCCGTCCTGCTCGGGCTCCACAGCAGCGGCTCTCCTCAGCTTGTCACAGCCGCAGCTGGACTCTCCTCCAGCGGCTACGGCGTCCCGCTCCGCCCCGCAGGAACTCTGGACGCGAAGCCCCCCGCCGACCAACGCTAAACTCATCCAAACTGGGTAAAAATAACGCACCATTCTAGCAAGAAAAACAGGCTCAGGAGGACCCCACCATGTTGTTGTTACGACCACTTCCGCAAAGTCACGTGGTCAGTCAGCAGGTTGCGCCGGGAAAAAAATGTAACTCTTTCCTGCCTGGCGAGTGATTTTCTGTTTAGTACTCAAAGAAAAGAAGAGACTACCGCACAAAAAAGACAGAGCCAGTTCAGAATATAATCTACAACGATGCAAACTGTCGTTAAATTTCTATTTTGAATATACAACCACAAAAAACGTGTCATTGAAAATACCACGAAGTAAGTGTTTTTCCTTAAAAAAAACTTTTCCATCTTTTACACGAGACTTCTTTCTTTCTTTTTTCTTATTTTTTTACACCATGCAGCCCAAGCAGGAGGGTGGAATTGAGTGGGGGTTTTCCTGAGGGTTTGGAGGGCTCTGACGGACATCATTTCCCAGCTCTACGGCCGCTGGAGAGGCGGTGGCAGAGAGCCAGCCAGAGCCTGCCCGCCGGAGGGGACGCAGCCGCCCAGCTCCCACTGGCGCCCGGAGAGAGCTGTCACAAAACTGCACCCGGGGCAGGAGCTCCCATTCGGCCCCGGAGAGGAGAGCAGAGGAGACCCGCGACCATGTTGTCTCAGCCCACGCGGAGAAAGCCGACCGTCTGAGCCTTCATCACAGCCGAGGTAAAGTTGATCCCGCAACTCACACAGTTTGTCATCCTTTCTTTTCCTCTCTCTCTCTGTTCCTCTGCGGAGGAACAGATTGAACTCTCCTTACATGGTTACCATGAAGGCTCACGGCTCAGAGCAGGAGCGTGGAGCGTCTTTATTTTCTCTGACGGTGAACGGTCCGCTCTGGGCAGTTGTGTGTGATTTGGGAATCGCGAAACAACAACATGCACAGCGTTTTCCCTTCAAGTTTTAGGCGTGTTTTGGTGCTCGGATGACCAATCCCCCTCAACACGATGCGCGTCTGTGTAACTTCCAGCCATTCTCATGTATGTGGGAGTCACAGCTGGTAGCAGTCACTGTCACTGTGGACCTTTGGACCTTTACGCGTCGTGGGCCACATTGGGGGGTCAGAAGTGGAAGCTGCCTGAGCTCACCTGAGCCCTGCTGCAGGTGCAGACCCCTCCCTTCACCATTAAGACAAACCACAGGCAACAGGTTACAGTTAGGTAGAATTTTAATTTCGTGCCGCTTCTACGCAAAGCAATGCAGTCAGACAGCCTTTTCAACCTTCCAGGCATGCCCCCCCTTCAAATCCACCTGAAATGAAAGCTTGATCCAGCTGGACTGAATGCCACCGTCAAATAATCCCACGAAATGCGGAACTGTTCAAGTCTTATACATTAAGGGTGTTCATAACTTTGGTATCTGGTTTGACATGTTTTCTTCCTCCATAGGAACGCCCTAGTTTGCATCAAACATGTCGGATAAGATGTCCAGCTTCCTACACATCGGGGACATCTGCTCCCTGTATGCAGAGGGATCCACCAATGGCTTCATCAGCACCCTGGGGTATGTCCGTATGAGTGACCACACATGTAGCATCAGGGCCTGCCTGTCAGGTTTCTCTGGTATCACGCAGCATTTGGAAGGAGGGAAATCCCTGCTTGGAAATCCCAAGGAGGGTAATGCTGTTACCACAGAAGCCCTTTTTTGAAGTTTTTTGCTCGTTTGTTTGCTCGTGACATGGGCATCATGGTTAGCCAGAGAATGGGATTGAGCAGCATGGTGTGGTGTGTTTGCTGTTTATCCTTCAGGAGGAAGCTGTGAGAGCAGCTGGAGCCCTTATCAGTGGCATGTAAAGCATAGGTGCCCCCACAGCGAGTGGAAGGGAAGTGTAGGGGTGGCAAATACACAAATAATGATACAGTTCATATTTGAGTGGCATCGGGAGTGGGTGTGAAAAAAGAAAATCTGGTTTGGTTGTGCTCTGTGTGGCGCTCCATATGTTAAAAGACTATTTAAAAAACACTAATAAACCCACACATTTACAGCAATATTGGATTATACATCACTCCCTCTTCAAATTAAAACACCATAGAGGTGAAGTGCAGAATGGCAAATTGCAATAACTCCATATTGTAAATGACAACTATGTTGGTCAAAACACAGATTATAAAGAGCAAAACGCAAATTATAGAGCAAACAAATGTCTGAAAGGGTTGCTGGAGATTGCAAACTGGCATAACCTGGTATAGATCAACACGTACGGAATTCGGTTTCACTTTTAAATTTGCACAGCAATAAAAACGACTTTCCATCTCACAACTTTAAACTCATAAGTGAAAAATCAAGATTTTAACTGAAACATGTCAGAAGACACGACTTTTCAGACCTTGTCTTTGTCTTTTCTGTCAGGGGATATCTTGTTGTTCTATTTTTTGTTGTGTTTTCTGTTTTTTGACATCATCCATAAAATATCCATAGAAGCTTCGAGCTTCAAATAGCACTGAATGTGTTAATAATGAGCTCTTGTCTTGTTTCTATTCGTCTCTTTGTTATTCATGCGACTCAGCCAGTTTGCAGAGGTTTGTGTTAATGGTTTGCTAGTTAAGCCTCTGGTGCCATCATAAGCAGGTGAAGTGCATTGTGTGTGGCTTTGGTAACGGTATCAGGGTATCAGCTGAGAATGCTGGATATGGCCCCCACTAGCTCATGAAAAATGGAATGACCACAGCAAAGACTGAGTCATCGTACAGACACTTTGGCCTTTCTTTAGTTCAGGCACTTCCCACATGGACATACACACACGTGAAAGCGCCCTCGTTTACAAAAATTGTCATGAGAGTTTTGGCCACGAGCCAACCATTCCACCCACAAACACCGACTTACTCCAGTCCACATCATCTGCCCTCGGAGAAAGACAGAATTGCGAGAGGAGGAGTAAAACTCTGCAAGGATCATAACTAACAAGAGCAACAACACAAGTTCCAGTTTAAAACAGATGAAGAGGCTCTGCGAGCACAAACGGTGGAAATATTTAAAACCAACCCTCGAGTGGAGGACTTTGTTTGTTCTTGTTTGCTTGTTTGTTTAGAGGAGTCGTAGCACCTTTGCTAAAAACCAGCGACATCAGTCACATATGGATAAACACACACTCATACTGCGTCATGTCTTCTTTACACTCTCAATTTTCACTTCTAATCCAAGCTTTTCAGCCTGTCGTGTTCCTGGAGGTGTAAAGGCTGCAGGAGCAGATAGGTCTGTTTGGACAACTGTACACATTCTGCTGGAAAAGGACAGGAATGGATGTGGGATTTGGCCTTAGCCCAGACAAGTGTTATTACAGGCCAGTAAAGGCTAAATTTGTCTCTAAAGATTCCAGCCTCCCCAGTGGTCTTGTAGTCCAGAATATTTCTTTTTTTTTTGTAGAGTAAGAGAGGGAAATAAACAGACTACCACCAGTGAAAGTAGGTGACAGTTGGGAATAAATAGTTTTTATGCATTTGTAAAATACTAATAAACCAGTTTGAACAGCAAGTAATATGCAGTAACGACACAGATTCACTTTTTTTGTGAAATTCTTCCTGCAATTTGTTGATAGTAGTTTCACGGTGATGGCTTCTGTCTAAATGTCTAAGGGTGTCGAAGAGATGGCCCTCAACAATATTCCTGCTTGTGAAACTGTAACCTCGGAATTTTAAGCTTCAGAAAAATAAGTGTTCTGATTGTCTCTGTGAATTTTGTGTCTCCAATCAGTGGTAAATTGCAATAAACTCAGTTACCACGTAACGTTCAGCTGACCGTACTGTAAAAATTCTGTTCATCCTGGATTCAGTTTGCATCACATAACACAATATTGCATAATGAAATCAGTGAATTAAGTCATTAAGTGAAAAACAAAAAGTCCTCCATACTGGCCTCCCCAAATTAGTCACTTGTGCACACACAGAGATTCAGCCAGTTGCAGCACCCTGCAGAAATACCGTCCCTAAGAGAGGCAGCAGCACTTCATCGTTGGTATAGATGTCATTGCATCATTGTCATAAGCAGGCAGACCAGGTAGTGTCACGACTAAGTTTTCAAGCATGATGTACAGGTTTTATAGTCTCGAAATCTTCTTGTCAACACCTAAATGGGGTTTAGGCAGTAACTAAAATAAGTAAACAATAAAAAAATATCAACAGTGTAGGGAGAGCAAACAATCAGGATTCTGGTTGAAATAGTTTCTTTTTACCATGCACCTTTATTGAAATTATCTGGCTCTTTTTTTTCTACTCATACTTCTACTTAAAATTGCCCCTTTGAGCTGCAGAAAATAAAAAGGAGTGGGGAAATCCTTTTCAGGTGGACTGTAAAAAGCATGCATACTTTTCTTCTGTTGATGTGAACAGGTTGGTGGACATGAAGTAAAACGGTTCAGAAACAACCAGATTTCCCTTGTTTATGCCAATGACTCCAAAATTCCTTGCAAAGGTTGATATTTCTGGAGGAAAAGAAAGCTTTTAAACTCTTTAAGTTTAACATAATTTTAATTATCCCTGAAGCAGAGATCCATTTTCCACACTGCAGATGCCGATAACAGTATTATGAAATGTCCCTTATTGCAGGTTGGTGGATGACCGCTGCGTCGTCCAGCCAGACGCCGGAGACCTCAACAACCCTCCGAAGAAGTTCAGAGGTAAGAGAAACTAAGCCAGCTCTCACCTTCCCCTGTGCACAGACATAATACCAGTAACTGCTGTGTGTTTATACAGTGCACTGTGTGAGAGACACTGCTGAATGTGTTGTGCTGTGTTTCTTTGGTGACGGCCACAATATCTCTGACCACTGGACTTCAAACAAGCCTGCCTTTGTCAGTGTGAATGATGTGTGTGTGTGTATGTGTCTGCACACCTCCCTGTATGTTTATGCATTCACACATGTGCTCATAGGGAGTTTGTGCGCGTGCTCTTACAAGTCTGTGAAAGTAGAAGCAGATGGAGAGAATCAGGTTCGATGCTGATTTGTGGAGGAACAACCCTCAACAACAAAGCTGCTATCTGAGTAAAAGCCTTGAGCTGTTGCTACTGGTGCGCTGGCTATTATTAGCTACCATGCAGGAAGTTTAATTCACAACCCACAGTTCTCAGGCTACAAGTTTACATCCCAAGGGACAGGCCTGGTCACATATTGCACTTTGAGTGAATGAGACCAAGAGAATATTAAAGCATTTGCGGAACATCTTTTGCCATTAATATATATATAAAAAAATTACTTTAACCTGTTGTTTACTGCATAGCTTGGATATTTTTTAATTATGTAGTTCCCTTTAATAGATTAGGAAGCTCTCTACTAAGAACCTTCTGTTAAAAGGAGTTGATTGAAATCTTCCCTTTTTGGAATGGAGATAATTACATTTGCACTTGTGACGTATTTGCCAGTGTTTGCTTTCACCATAGATCTGCCTTTTTCCATACTCTTAATAATTTCTGATAATACATTTTTGGTAGGTCAAACCTTCCAATTTAGTCCAATTGTCATAATAATTTGTTGTCAATCACCAAATCACACATTACTCACTTTTCCCTTGCGGGGTGTGTATTTATTTCAAACCCGTATTTTTTCTTGAGGTAGCTTAATATGGAGATTAGTCAATAAAAAAAAACATAGTTCTTCAACATATTAATTTGGAGAACAAATGATTAATGATCTAAAAACAGGCTTTTTATGTAGAGCATATGGATTTACAAAAACGTATTTTGTCATATTTAGTTATGTCACCGAACCTCTTAAATGAACTGGTTTTGATAAAAGAATCTGCTTCCTGTCAGTGGTTCAGTTTGGCTTTGAAGTGTGTCAGACAGCGTACTGTCTCATGAGTGTTAGGAAGACTGCACAACATTCAGAAAGAGGAGAGCTTTGATCTCAGCAGTGACCTGCACAGTTAAGCTCTTCAGTGGGTCTGCAGTGTCCCAGGAGACGTTATCTACCCCCTACAGTCACTGTCAACAAGACAAACACAGACTACCAACTGATACCTCAACAGAGAAGAGATTGTCTCCTCCTTTGTGTCTGTTGTTGTATTCTCAGCAGTCAAGTTTCCCTGTCCAGCGTGCTTGTTTCAGAATATTCTTTTATGAAGCAGTTATTGGATGTTTACATCCCTACTGTAAGCAATGAAACATGTTGATGTACTATAATGAATGTGAATGAATGTGTAAACTGACTAGTGACGTAGTGTAGAGCAGCCATGTTGTCTATACTGTTTGATGAACCTTACTAGATCAACAAAAAGAATGAGCAGTCATCCACCAAACCCATATCTGACAGATCTAAGGAAATGGGATTTGGATCCTTTCCAACTTGAATAGAGTTTTTTTTCTTTTGCTCACACTCCAACTCTCCAGCATGAACTTACGTCCTGGTAGTTTCTTGCATCATCTTGGGGACCAGCTAGCACTACCAGAGAGCAAATACAGATAGAAGTAGATGCTTTGGGTTAATATGGAGATAGCTGTGCGATCAGCAGTGGTCTGCAGTACAACAAAGAGAGATGTTTGAGACATATTTTTCAAACTGTCTCATGTTAATCGCTGACCACAAAAATAGAATTACTTGTGACTTTGTTTGGATTTATTTTTGTAACTAAAGCGTTTGAGATGCACTTACTCTGAGGAAGTTATGTAATTTTCTTTTGGACTTTAGTTTCCCTAAGCCAATACTTCTGGAAACTGTCTAAAACAAGCTTTTTTTCTATGTCCTCAGACATTGTTTGGTGCTCAGCTGTTTGAGAGACACAGTTGTGCAGATAGTTTTACTAAGTGGAGGCTGAACAGTCAGGCCAGATTAGCTGTGTCCACTAAGTCTTGCTGTCACTGCTGAGGTATGCATTACATTTCCCCCTAATGTAAACATTACACCCTGCTCACAGTCTTACTCTCGCTCATTTATCTATATATATATGCCGAGAAATCGGCCTTTCTCTGTGTTTTGCTCTGACTATATTTTGAAATGCCTTAAGACGCCCACACTCTCTGACAGCAGAGTTCAGCAGAGCACACGGAGTCGCAGCCAGAACACAGAAGACAGAGACAACTGTTCCATGAAATTGTGTGTTTTATTCTCAGTTGCTGTGTTTTCTACTTTCATTCAGCTGTTTTAATGTCAGGGCACTTGTCTAAATTGGTGGTTGCCATGGGGGCAGTTCTTTCTGGTTTTTAAAATGCCATCCTGTTTGTAGAATTGTTAGTCACTTTGCTAAAATCTGAATGTGTGTCTGTTTGTTTTATTGTTTAGATTACCTCATTAGGCCATTTTCTTATATAATTCCCCTATTAATAGTCCTTTTGAGGAATCAAATCCTGTCCAACACCTGGTACACGTCAGGTGTGTCGTACAAACGTCTAAAACATGCAGGACAGAGGCCCTCAAGGACCAGAGTAGGACAACTGATTGACTGTACTCTGAAAAAGCTATTCAACTCTTCAAGACTAGGAGGAACTTTTAAAAGCTGAGATGCTTCCGGTGCCCTGAATATATTTCTGAATTGTTTGTTTGGTTCAAAATTTTTTGCAGATGAGACAATGAATTGGGCTTAGGAAGATTTGCTGTTTCTATTGGTCGGTTGGAGAATTTCTAAACCCCTCTGTGGGATGACAGAGCTATGCATTGCAGGAATGGTTTTCCAATTTTAAAGCTGAAAGGTTTAAACTGGGTTTTTGCGGTAATTAGTTTGTCAACAAAAAACACTAACTGAGCACATGGCGGTGAGTTGGATTAGGTGCTGGAGCAAGATACCGAACAGGCTCTGTGCGTCCCAGCTTTATTGAGGATATGCCGGAAGTGTTTAGCAGAAGACACTGTTGAGGGGGTCAACTTACACCAGTGGATCTTCCCTCACATTACAAAAGAAGGATGGGAATTACGAGTCTATCTGGACTATAGATTTCTACTGCCTATACAGAAGGTGTAGAAGTAATTTTGCGGACATGATCGTTGTAATTGGTGTGTTATGTTGGATCTATACCCAGCCCTCTCTATGACCTTAAACTGTTGGTAGATAGGAAGACACTGAAAGGGGAATACGACAAAATGAGCTCCCTGCGAAATATGTCTGAATACTAGCTAGGTGAAGACTTCAGTCAGGAGGAAAAAGTTAGGGTGGTTCTTGTCTGCTTAATATGCCTCCCAGAGGGCTCCCAGGGGGAGTGACTCTGAAATTTTCAACGTGGGAGTAGGCCTTGAGGCGGACCCAGGGAGAGATTCTATCTCTCAGCCCCCTCCCCGGAAGATGCTCCGCTCAGACTGTGACCACTTTGACTCCTGGAAAGTGGCAGAGAATGCATGGGTGAATGGATAGATGTCCAGCACTATGATGATTTCTATTGGTTCTTACAATTCTCTAATTAAGTGAAAATGGTAATTTGTTTAAGAGTTTTATCGTAATAATAAACGACATTGCCACTGGTCTCAGCTACTGAACTCTTGTGGTTATTACTAGTCAACCATAAAAATAAACAAGCTGGCAGAGAAGTCAAATCGTACCTCTGTTCTAAGAGAAAAACGTCTCAATACAAGTTTATTTTCCCATTCATCCATAGTTGCATGTGAAGTTCGTTTACGGAGAAAACGTCTCCCTGTATCTATGATACACCTGCACCTGCCTTTACTTCCTCAAATGCGTCTGTTGTATTTACTGGAGCTTTTAGACCTCCCACAGACAAATTTTGTGTCGAATATTAACCCTCTGATGCCTCATGGCTGTTGTCAGCTTAAACCACTGCTGCTGTCAGAGACTAACCAGCAGGCAAGCTGGGTGGTTCACCAGAGATGAATAGCAGAAATGCCACATATACTACCTTCAGGTCTACCAGGGGAGGAGTGGTTTTCAGAAAGACACAGTCTATTGGCTCATTAATGGTCTATAATGCACTGTAAATGATTAGTTGCCTCCTTTTTGATATCTCGTGCAGGATAATGCTGTAAGGAGGGCCATGTGTCTCTACCTTCTTGGCTAGACTTTGTAGTTTAATTACCACAATAAAATGTCACTCAGATCTGCAAAGGAGGTGTCAGCAGGCCTCCCTACTTGTGCTAGGCGTGCTGTAGTCAACAAGTACATAAACACATGGAAGAGAATCTTTGTCGGCAAATGTTGTCTCTCTGGTTTAAAAGTAGTTACTAATAGGAAGTATGAAATAAGAAAGAAAGTTTATGAAAAGGGAAGGAGAGGGAAATCTCAATGCCAAATATACAATGTACAAAAATAGAATCCCAATATGCAAAGCTTTTGCATAGTTGAACACTTAATTGGACTGTTGTGGTGAAGAAACTGCTCTGATTGTCTCAACTGTTTAGCTCCCCTGAGATATCCTGCAGTTGCTTTTGTGGCAAGTCCAAGACAGTCGGTGCAAGATGAGGCTGAATAAGAACCAGGAGACATTTATTAATCCCTACGGAGAAGTAGTTTCTCTCAGTCTTTGAAAATTGTGAAATTAAGTAAAACCATTAAAAGGTTACATTCTAAATTAAATTTTAAAATTCAATTGAAGAGGAGGAATTTATATCACTGGACCGTCACAGGATGGAAGAATCTCCTGTAACATTTCCCGGAACGCTTTATTATTAGTCACCACGATGACGATTTATGCAGCTCTGTGTTATCATGCATTAAATCTAATCCAATCTAACAATTGGAATGCAAGTGGTTCGACTGCTGGCTTTCCTGTGCTGCATTTCAAATTGTCCTTGGGCCCAACCCTGAACCCCACGTTACCCACTGATGTATCCATCAGGAAATGAGTGTGTGGGTGAATGGGTGAATGCAGCATGTAGTGTAAAAGCAATCAGCTAGACTCGAAAAGCACTATGTAAGAAAAGTCCCTTCAAAACTTTACCAAACATAAACACACCGGGAGTTTTTATTACTCTCAGGGCTGCGCACACCTTTTTCTTGATGCCTGTAAAACTGTAGAAGTTTGTCAGTGCTGGAGTCTTTAAAGAGTTTATGCTTGTAACACAAACGTTACACTCAAAATAACACAGACCTGGACAGCCTTCTGCTCAGTCTATGAGCAATCGTGTTATTAAAGACTCTGATAAGTTGCCCTTACAAGGCAGAAACAACATAAAGTGACACATCATCAAATTTCACTGAAGTGAGGTGAATAAAGTTTGGCACCGAGTTTGTTTAATCCATTTCAAAATATGAATAATTTTGTTGCAAAACAGAAAATAAGTGTCACATTTGGTTGCCATATTTGCAGCACACCTCCATCTCACTGGCTCACATTCAGCTCGTGTCTGTGAAAGAGATGTGTGTGTGCAGAACAGACACAGAAAGCAGCAATCATTTCCACGTTGTTTGCCTAGTTGCTAACACTTATTTTGCATCTAATTAACACTCTGTTATGGCTTTCACTTTAGGGCACTGCAAAGCCTCAGCACCATCTTCCTCTAATATGAGTCAGGTTTTCACACACAACAGTGTGAGCTTTGCTCAGAGCTAGATGAATAAAACAACCAATTGTTTGCATAGTTGCCGTATTGTTTTATAAAAATACTTGCTGGGTCAGCACTGGGTCACAGACAGTATAATTCTATCTATGGTCATTTACATCAGACTTACTTATTTTGTTTCACAGAAACCTTTAAGCTAATTTTTAGATTTATTAATTTGTCAAAAAATGACAGGTCTGTCTGATAGCAGTATCTTTTGTTAACCTTTCTATTGATAATGATAAAAAAAAATCTAATGTCAACATCCAAAGTGAGTAAAATATAAAATATATGAAAAGAAATAGTGACAATAATGTCAAAAAATCCAGGGAATTGTTCTTAGAAATTAATATATGTTTGCAGGACTAGTAGATAAATATAGTATATATTGTGCACACATGACCAGTCATGTGTTCAACCCAGGTTTACATCTTTTCTGTCACACCCTGCTGTGATTAAAACCGCATGTTTAGTACATGCAGATTATCTGTTAAATGCAGTAATTGTTTTTTTATGTTGGGACTGTATTTTGAGTGTGGGAAATTTGAGCAAATTATAAGACAGCTGTTTTTTTCGCACTGGTACATCGAAGAATCTGTGGAACACATAAGATTAAGATTAACGTTTCATCCATTCACAGTGCTGCTTTTTCAAGCCCTTCACTTTCTTTCTCTCTCCGTTTGACATTCTTTCTCTCTCGCTGTCTTCCTCATTTCTGTTTCACTTCGTTTTTTTTTTTTCTAGCTGTATTTTCGGGTCAAAAGTAAACGCGAATTGAAGAGGGGAGAGAAGGGAGGAGAGGACAGTGGAACACACAGAACACTGAAACAGTTAAGCCATGAGCAGGAATGATCGGTGTGCGAAATGGTTTGAAGATCTCAGAGAGAAGGAGGGATGACAGAATGTTTCGGGGAAAAGATAGGGAGACCCCACCCTCGCCTCTCTCTTTCTGTCAACCAGCTCCCCTTCTCATGGCTGACCTTATTTGGTCATGTAAGTGCAGCTAGAAGTAGAAGGACAGAGAGAGACAGAATGGAGAATGGATGCACAGATTATTCTTTTTCCTCCTGTTTTCACCCTCTCAGAAAAGAAAGCTGTGGTCTAAGAGGTGAAATCGGAGGAAAAACCAAGACTGAGAGGGAGGAGCCAGTAGTAGGCAGAGGTTTAACTCGGGGAAAGTCACTGTATAGCGGCTGAATAAAACCTCTTTGTATTGGAAGTGTAGCATGTTACAGAAGAGGAACTGTCCTGAAACCGAAGAGGAACTTCATTAAAACTGTCAGCACATGCAAATAAAAGGCCCGGTTTCCCTCCTGGCGAGGTCCTACAGTTTATGAAAATGAACTGCGCCGTCAGACTGAAGACAGCAGCGTCTCATTGTTGTGGCTGTCAGAAGCTCCAACTGACCATTGGATTGACTGCCCCCCCTTATAACACACTGGGAGACCTTGGAGTTTTTTTTTGCTGTGCCATTATTTATTGCGGTCTAGCCACAGAATGTAATCACATGTTGTAACGCTTGCATAACAAGAGCACTCTTGTCCTGCATCACTCCTCCCTGAAGCAGACAAAGCCCTTTGATCTCCATTCAGGAGAATCATTAATGTGTGTGAAGTGCAAGCACACACACCTGGATCTGTCTGTATCGGACAGGATGAAAATACCGTCTTTATTATATTCTTAGTTAGGAATTTACTGAACGCATAAATAATGTGCACAACCCATGCAATTTTTTATTATGTTGTTGTGAATTTGGGCTCCGTTGTTTTAGCAACCAATATCTTTTGCTTCATGCTAACCTTTAGCTGCGACCTGTCTCCCACGCAGCCTCGCTCACGTTACATTAACATCTTCCCTGGATTCTCACTTCTGTCCTCTCTGTGTGATTTGGTTGTAAGTAATCTTTGTCTTCCCCCTCGATTCCTGTCTCTCGTCGCAGACTGCCTGTTCAAACTGTGTCCCATGAACCGCTACTCAGCCCAGAAGCAGTTCTGGAAAGCAGCGAAGCCTGGAGGGAACACGGACGCAGTGCTGCTCAACAAGCTGCACGTAAGTGCTGTGGCCGCATGTTCACCTCACAACCGCCACCACACACAAGCCCGCCTTCAGGGATCACACAAGCAGTGACGGGATCAAGTCGCACTGGTCCCACATCGTTCAAACTCCCAACTTTCATATATGTAGATTTTTGTAAAGAGTAGACCAAAACAGTGAACATGTGCCGTTACAGTTTAAGAGCAGCTTTTGTTGTGGATACCTGCCAGTAGAACCATTGAGACTCATTTTATGGAGTTTTTTGTAAACCTTGTCATTACTATTGCCATACTTTTATGCCTTCTAGGCTTTCATTTCTCTCTCTGCTGAAATACAATACCTTTTAAAGCAAAATATCTGGCCACGCAGTCATAAAGTGGTGGGTTGCAGTCTTTCATCTGTATCCCTGGGTATGTGAGTTAAAGCCCCTTTAGCCAACTGTGTATTTCTCTCTAAAAACACTTACATTCCTGGGTTAAGGGGCTTTGTTTACAGCCATTTAGGCTGTTTCTCCCAGAATGTCTATATATGATTGGTGAACTCAGAAGCCTTTTGCTGTGAGATTAATTTCCTTGTGTCTCTTTTTTGGTTCATTGCAGCATGCAGCTGATTTGGAGAAGAAGCAAAATGACTCTGAAAACAAAAAGCTCCTTGGATCAGTGATTCAGTACGGGAACGTGATTCAGGTTTGTTCCCAAGAACTATCCGCCATGAAAAAGCGTGTGTCCTGCTTTTGTCCAATTTTGATTAAAGTGAGACTCGATTCGGCCTGATGGAAATACAACACAAATATGGTGTTGTGCTGCTATGAGAGAAAACTAGGAGTCATCCAAATGTTTCCCCTCCCACAATGAAAAAAAAATACTGCATTTATTGATCTGCTGCAATTTTCTCAACCCACCAGGAGAAATCAGCATAAACATTTCTTACATTCGATCACAGCGATCTCAAAGTAACCCGTGGTCGTTCCTTCTCTAAAATGCTATTTCACAATGTGAAACGCTTCCATCTTGTGGTAAATTCAGTTGTTTTAACGGTTTGCATAAAACAACCCACCATACTACTTTCTGCTCAGCTTCTCCACCTGAAGAGCAACAAATACTTAACCGTGAACAAACGTTTGCCAGCATTGTTGGAGAAGAACGCCATGCGGGTGATGCTGGACACAGCAGGAAACGAGGGCTCCTGGTTCTACATCCAGCCCTTCTACAAACTTCGCTCCATTGGCGACAGTGTAAGTCATCAAGTCTGTGGTGATGGTGCAGAGGGAGGTCACAACCTTCTTTGGATAGCCACTTTTGTGGTCACTAAAAATATGCTTTTTTAGAATATGTTTTCGAGCTTCAGCTTCAGATGGAACATGCAATTTGCATATTGTAAATTGACATGTTTGGATGGAGGGCAAAGTTACTCCACGTTGTGTTCGAACCAGCTAAGGACATGCACGGTTATTTAAATCGTTTCTTTTCAGTACCTCCTCAAGTGTGCCCATTCACGGTTTGCTGATGACTTACTTGAGGTTTGGCAGTTAGATAGAGATAAAAAGCACAACACTGACCACCAAGATTCATTATCCTGCCAACATGCTGCGACTGTGTTATGTTCTCTCTAAGGGTGGCCTGTAAAATAGGAACACGTCTCATCTACCCACGGCCTCAGGCAGCCACAGATATATAGTGTTAGGATCCAAAAATCTAAATGAAACTTCGGGGTGGCTAGAGACCATCATAACAAACAATACATCGTACATAACCAGGAATACATAAAAAAGATGAAAAAGGACATTAAGTAAGTATTTAACATAATTAAGAGTTTGAATAAACTGTGGAGAAGACTGGCTGTCCCCACATACTCTTTTTTTGTGCATGCTTGTGGATTTTTTTAGGAAGAGGGATATAAATAAACTTTTACCTAGCAGCATAATCTTTGGTCTCTCTTTTCCCTGCCCTTACTTGTGCTCCTATAACAGTTTGGGATCTGCTACATTTAATTGCAACCAAGTTGGTAACTCTCTACACATGTGTTTATCTGTCTTTTGTCTATTATACAACTCTGGGTAGATGGATCCAGAGATAGCTTCTCTTGAAAATGAAAATTGACAAAAACACTCTTGTTTATCTTTTTATTTTATTTTAGATTTTTATCAATGATGTTTGTTTTGTGTTTGATTGCAGGTGGTTATTGGGGACAAAGTGGTCCTAAACCCAGTAAATGCTGGTCAGCCCCTTCACGCTAGCACACACCAACTTGTGGATAATCCAGGATGCAACGAGGTTTCTGTTTTTTCCCCTCATGGCTTTGAAGAATACTATTATGACCATTTGACTCTTTCTTTAAATATCTGCTGTGCATTTTTCATTGGAACCATGCCTTATGTTATGTTATCAGTGTTATTTATGATTATGTGAGTATTTTAAAGATATCTTAGTTAAAATATTACATTACATGAAGCCAACATAACATGAAACATTTTAAACCTGATGCATAGGTTTTTTTGTATTGAAATGATTTTGTCTGTTGGAAAAACCTTTTAAAAACATTTTACACTGTGCCTTGCTTTAAACCTGCTGTCACATCCAACTCTGTCTATTTTTCAGGTGAATTCTGTAAACTGCAACACCAGCTGGAAGATTGTACTATTCATGAAATGGAGTGATAATCAGGAGATTGTCCTAAAAGGGGTGCGTCTCCATACAACTTTCACATAAACTTATTTTCCCTCTCTAACACTTTTTTTTGGAATATTTTGGTCTGTTTCTAACACATTTCTAATGTGTTACAACAAATTAACAGATGCAAAGTAAGTTCAGTCACTATGTTGGAAAGAAAAAGCTGTGAATTACCACTAAAGTCCATTAGCAGTAAACCTTTAGTGAAATTAATTCAGTTCTAAATCCTTTATTCCTAAACAAAAATGGGAATTTCACACTGTGGGTGTTTCATGAGGTTGTTCCTCAGATCTGAGTGGGATGGCAGCTTTGTCTGTTTCTATTTCAGTATCATCAGTCACATCATAGATCCAAATGAGAGCATGTTTTGTTAAACTGATGGTGTGCATTACTGGAAAAAGGCCCACAGTGTAACATTCCTGTAATTAAATGCTGGGTACTAATATTTCACAATATTCTTTTGTTCATTTAAAAAAAGAGTAAAACTGTTCATGAACAACTTGTCTAGGGTTCTTTTTTTTAACATTATGTGTTTGCAAGTTTTGATTCCTTTCTTTTCGGGCAGTTAAACTAGACATTACCCGCTGTGACCGATTTCCCCCTTCTCTGCAGGGTGATGTGGTGCGCTTATTTCATGCTGAGCAGGAGAAATTCCTCACATGTGATGATCACAGAAAAAAACAGTATGTTTTTCTACGCACCACCGGGCGGCAGTCAGCTACCTCGGCAACTAGCAGCAAAGCCTTATGGGAGATAGAGGTCAGTCACAATATTTTTACGTCAGGATTTGCTGACTTTTCTGCCGTGTGTGTTATAAAGCTGTTGTGTGCTCTGATGTCCAGGTTGTGCAGCACGATCCATGTAGAGGGGGGGCTGGCTACTGGAACAGCCTGTTTAGGTTCAAACACTTGGCCACTGGACATTACCTGGCTGCAGAGGTCAGACCATCCATCTCTATCTCTCTCTCACACACACATATATGTATATGCATAGGGATAAAGTGTGTACATTTATATATATGCACTCATAAAATGTAATTTCACAGGTGAACCCAGACTATGAGGAGGAGTGCCTTGATTCTCGTTCTCCAGTAAGTGGACCATGCTGGGCTAGTGTAATCTGCCATTGTGTAAAACTTTAAAAAATGTAAATGATTTAGAGTTAACTTAGTTGAATAAGTATGACAAAAAGTGAAACAGACTAAAGAGAGGAAAAACTGCCATTTTCTTACAAGCTTTGGAATTTATTGTAGAAGTAGTTTACACTGGTTCTCACACTGTGGCCTTTCAGCATAACTCACTCTCACAAACACATTTCAGGTAAGCAACATTTGCTCAAACTGTGGTGTGGTAAACCATCACAGAAACATTAAGTTTAGGCAACAAACATGTATTGTCAAGGCAGTTGAGGAGAAGAGAGAAGAGAGTAAATTTCGATAGAAAAAAATGGGAAAAAGCACATTTATACTGTTAACCATTGTGAGTGCTCAAAGGCTCAGTGGATTCTTAGAGGATGTGATGGATGTTAGTGACCAGCAGAGGGAAACCTTAGAAAGCAAAAAGAACATCCTTGCTCTGCCTTAGTATGAGGTTTAAAACAGATGCTGACCCACACATTAAGATAAAGTGTTTAATGCTATTATGACTGTGAATTTAGTTAGATTACATTTGAATAAATTGTGCAAAAATAAGAAAACCATGTTTTCTAGAAGTTACCATTCTTCTATGAGAGCTTATGGCACCTTACGCCTCTATGAGCATAGTTGTTGGCTCATTTACTCTGATGAACAATGTGGGAACTTAATAAAAAATAATCAGATAAGGATTAGTTTATTACTCACGTGGTCCTTTAACAGTGATCTGAATTCAGCTTGTCATTACCAGCCACATGGCACATTTCTTAGTGAGTTTTCACAACAGTAGCGATTGACTAAAACTCATTAACTATCTTAAGCCTTTTTTCTAATCAGACTTTTTTTTTCCCCCGCACACAGCTTGATTCAGAGCAAGAAGCCTTGCGAGCCCGTTTAAGAAATATCCAGGACAAAGTCATGTACACACTTGTGTCAGTTCCGGATGGAAATGACATTTCTTCCATATTCGAGCTAGATCCCACCACCTTAAGAGGGGGAGACTCACTCGTTCCAAGGTAGGAAACCTTATGTAAAAGCACCTATGTGTTTGGGAACCTCTCAACTATTAGATTATTGCTGATGTCTTATCCTGCTCTCTTAATCAAAAAGCAAACAGCAGACATATTACAACAGGGGGGTTTCCACAGTATATGATGTCATCTCGATTGTTTGCAAAATAAGCAAATGCAATACTTGTTAATGCAGTCTCTCGCTTGCTCAAAGGGGTTGTACAGTCACAGTTCTGGTTTGCGATAGTGATGAGTAGTGATGACCTACAAAAGAGGGTAATTCCTCTGGGATGGCCCTGTGTCTCTGTGCGTACTGCTGTGTTTGTGCAAGCTTGGTGCAGACTGATTTCCCTCCCAACCGCTGTGGAATATATGTGGCACTACTACATATTGCTCTACAACTTCTTGAGGAAGTACAAGGTTTTATTAAACTAAACAAATGGAAACATTTCAGGTGATGGCCATTCTCAGTCATTCAGGTCACTGCAATCCTAAATGCTTGACCAGGATGTATAGAACTCCTTTTCCTGATGTCGCCTCTCATGTGTAAGACCTAATCAGTTTACGGGATTAGAATGGGGCAAAAGAAGCAATCTCCTTTACGTGGGAAAAAACAGCTTCACACAGAGGACTACCTCACTCCTACAAAACAGCCTTCATTCATCTCCCCAGACTGAAACTTACAACAAGTTTTACTTTGAATTCTTGGGACCAGTATGTGTTGGCCAAACTGGTAAACAACTCACTAAATGCTCTTCAGACAGGGTGAATAAGATGGTGACGCGCATGAGGCCTCAACATCCCTCAAAATGTGATTGGCCTCGCATCAGCTCATAGTCTTGAAACTCTCTCTAAGTCAGTGAGAACTTAAGACGCCTTTAGGATAAGACGCTGAAAGTCTTCTAGAACCGAAAGACAAAGCCTGGTGAAGATCTGAGGTGGGCTTGTGTTGATGGAAGACAAATTAAATGGAAAGAAAACAAGATTAAGTCTTGCAGCTGATTACTAATCTGACCACCACCTTTCATCAGGTCACCAAGGAAATGTTGCCCATGTGTTTTTCTGCATATTGCACTGAAGTACAAACTCTTCTTACTAAGTGAAACTAAAAAACATCTGAAACTAAAACACACTGACAGGTTGAGCATTTTGTTACCTTCCATCTCCATCAGGTGTTGTTTTCCCACCTTTTTAAAAAAAAAAAAAGAGTGTAAATTATTGTTAAAGCAAGATTTTTTCTAATAAAAACTGCTAATACTAGTAATAATAATGAAAATAACAATATAAACAAAGGTTGTTGATATTAATGACACATTCATGTCAACAAACATGGAACAATTTATATTGATTTGGTGAATTATTTGTTGCTTTTTTATTTATTTTATTTTTTTTACAGAAACTCCTATGTGCGTCTCAGACACCTGTGCACCAACACATGGGTTCACAGCACCAACCAGCCAATTGACAAGGAGGAGGAAAAACCTGTCATGTTACGTGTGCGTGACAGTTCCTTTGCAATAATTTATCATGTATCAGATGCCTAAAATGAGTTTTTTTAGGTCTCTTGAAATTTGATTTGTCAACAAGACATGATTGGTTACAGAAATCTTAACCAGCTGTTGAAATACGATGGCTTTGGTATTTACATACTATAAAATACTTAAAGTTACTTAAAATATCTCTCATGAGTGATTTTGTATAACTGTTTTGTAATTAAAGATTGGCACATCCGCACAAAAAGAGGACAAAGAGGCCTTTGCCATAGTGCCTGTCTCCCCAGCAGAAGTGAGAGACCTTGACTTTGCAAATGATGCCAGTAAAGTGCTGGCCTCTATTGCTGGGAAGCTGGAAAAAGGCACCATCACACAGAATGAGAGGAGGTATTTATTCGTAGTGGGTCAGGATTGTAGACCTCTTTCTGTGAACTGAGTAGTTACATTGCCCCCTTTTTTCTGTCTGTTTTACTTTGTGCAAATCCAACCAGAGCGGTTACCAAACTTCTGGAGGATTTGGTGTTCTTTGTGGTGGACATTCCCAACAATGGACAGGATGTTCTAGAGATAATGGTTAACAAACCCAACAGGGAGCGTCAGAAACTCATGCGAGAACAGAATATCCTCAAACAGGTAGTGTTTTGTAATATTTAGATCACATTAAGTCCCCTGACATTAAGTCTCCTGCTCCTCAGACCTTTGCAGCTCCTCGTCAGAGGGACATGCATGTTAGGTTTGCTATCTGAGTCAGCATGACTTCCTTTATTTGGTTAGAATTGTCACCACATTATGTTCAGATCTTCAAGCTGCTCCAGGCTCCATTCACCGACAGTGGGGATGGGCCCATGCTGCGACTGGAGGAGCTGGCTGACCAGCGTCACGCCCCCTTCAGACACATCTGCCGCCTGTGTTACAGGGTTCTGCGTCACTCCCAGCAGGATTACCGCAAGAACCAGGTACAGTTCATCAGGCCCGAGGACCTAAAAGGCCCGTGTTAGCGTCAGCATGACATGGTCAGATGGTTTTTGAATTGCCGCTTTTCTCTCGTATGAATGTTCATGATGTCCATCTGTCCTGCAGGAGTATATTGCCAAACAGTTTCGCTTCATGCAGAAACAGATTGGCTATGATGTACTGGCAGAAGACACGATCACAGCTCTACTCCATAACAACCGCAAGCTGTTGGAGAAACACATTACCGCAGCAGAGATAGACACGTTTGTGAACTTGGTCCGCAAGAACCGTGAACCCAGGTTTGCAAACGTGTTTTCCCGCTCACTGTGACTGTGTGCCGCTATCTACCTTCTGTTGGCCTGATGAGAGTGTGTTATAATGCTGTCATACGTGGCACACGGGTGCACGAGTCAGTGTTTAAGGATGCAAGGTTTCAACTCGGAAGCTCTAGCTGATGGTATTATTGCAGAGTCAAGCATGACTGAGTTCAGTTTCTTTTTCTGTGGATGCTCAGGTTCCTGGACTACCTGTCTGACTTGTGTGTGTCAATGAACAAGTCCATCCCTGTGACACAGGAGCTCATCTGTAATGCGGTGCTTGATCCAACAAATGCAGACATCCTGATAGAAACAAAGTGAGTAGACTGACATCACTTCTTTACCTAAACAAGTTTTAATACTATTTAAAAAATTATAATAGCACTTGCTATATGCTAGTCTAGCCCTTATATGAACCCCCATTGTGAATGTTGTACCAACTGAATTGTTATCGGCTGAGAGAAAAACTATAAGCAAAATTCCTCTGACAGACTGAACACACGGAAGTAAGAATTTGGAAAGGAAAAAATAATGATTGACATTTTTACTTGATTAACTCTCTCTTTGCAGACTGGTGCTCTCGAGGTTTGAGATTGAAGGAGCGCCGCTTGGGGAGAACTCTGTGGAGTCGGAGGAGGATGAGGAGGAGGTGTGGTTGTTCTGGAAGGACGCTAACAAAGAGATTCGTAGTAAAAGCATCAGAGAGTTGGCCCAGGATGCAAAGGATGGCCAAAAGGAGGACATGGAAGTGATCAGTTATTACAGGTAATTGCTATGTCTCAGTTTCACTTTTGACTATTCAGGAGCTAAAATGGCTGGCTGAACTTGTTGATAAATGCTGCAGGTATCAGCTGAACCTGTTTGCCAGGATGTGTTTGGACCGTCAGTATCTGGCCATCAACAAGATCTCTGGCCAGCTGGATGTGGACCTGATCTTGCGCTGCATGTCCGATGAAGACCTGCCCTATGACCTGCGTGCCTCTTTCTGTCGAATGATGCTGCACATGCATGTGGATCGTGATCCTCAGGAACAGGTCACACCAGTCAAATATGCACGGCTGTGGTCTGAAATCCCCTCAGAAATCGCCATTGATGAGTGAGAAAATCTACAAACTCTATTGTTATCATATTTTATTGGAAAGTGCGTTGCTCAGAATGTGTGGGACTTTGTGTGTTTGCATTTATTTATTTACCTGTCTTCTCATTTGTAGCTATGACAATGATGGGACATCTAAGGATGAAATTAAGGAGCGATTCTCTCAGACTATGGAGTTTGTTGAAAACTACCTCAGAGATGTGGTTTGCCAGAGCTTCCCTTTTGCAGACAAAGAGAAGAACAAACTCACCTTTGAGGTCGGTCTGACTGATTGGTGGTTTGAAATCAGACTCACGCTGTTGTGTCAAGTGTTCAGCTTTAATTAAGTTTGTCTCTATTTCTGTTTTCCTTGTTTAGGTGGTCAATTTGGCCAGGAACCTGATATATTTTGGCTTCTACAACTTTAGTGACCTCCTCCGACTAACCAAGATCCTGCTGGCTATTCTAGACTGTGTCCATGTAAGCACGATTTTCCCTTTCAGTAAGATGGACAAAGGGGACGAAAACAAAGGTATGTCAAGTATGTCCTGAGGGGTCAGTGGAGAACGTGATGTAGGAGAAATTAATCTGTCTTTCTAATTGGCTCCAGGTAGCAATGTGATGAGGTCCATTCATGGTGTGGGAGAGCTGATGTCTCAAGTTGTCCTGAGAGGAGGAGGTTTCCTTCCCACAGCATCGATCAGCAGCTCCAATGGAAGCACAGTAAAGGCGCAGATTGAACCCGAGAAACAGGATGTACTGGTCATGGACACCAAACTTAAGATCATTGAGATCCTGCAGGTAACAAACATTCAGATTTACCCTTATGTTGTAGAACCAAAAAAGCATAAGTGTATGATTATTGTCTGAAAATCTGTCTGTTCCGTCCTGCAGTTCATCTTGAATGTCCGTCTAGACTACAGGATCTCCTGTCTGCTGTGTATCTTTAAGAGGGAATTTGATGAAAGTAATTCCCAGAGTGAATTATCTATAACGGGAGCAGTGGAGGGTCCAAACAATATGCCAGGTTAGATTATTGTACAGTCATTTTATGATAGATTGAGAGGATTGTGGTAATTACCTATTTGTTTTACATCTCCAGGAGCTTTGGACTTTGAGCAGATAGAAGAGCAGGCTGAGGGCATCTTTGGGGGAAGGTAATGTTAGTTTTTATACACAAAGAGTGGCAAGAACTGAAAGAGGATATTTAATGTATACATATGAATGTTTGCTCTTTGAATGCCTAGTGAAGAGAACACCCCCCTGGATCTGGATGATCACGGCGGTCGAACCTTCTTGAGGGTGCTGCTCCACTTGACCATGCACGACTATCCTCCACTGGTGTCCAGAGCACTACACCTGCTTTTCAGGCATTTCAGCCAGAGACAGGAGGTTCTGCAAGCATTTAAGCAGGTATTTTAGCTGTAAAAAGTTCATGAAAAGTATTATTTTCAATCAAACAAAAGCACTTATGGTAAAGTGCTTTGCATAGAATTTGTAGCTCTTTCAAGACAAGCCCATTAATTAGGACAGAAAACTTAAAAATACGGTTATAAATAATAGAAGTCTCTAAAGTTACTTGTAAATTCTCATTCATATTGTGCATGCATAACATATGTAAATACATTTTAAGTAAGACTATTTTAATACACTTAGTTTCTTGGTCCCTTTGGGTTTTCTGTGATGGACTTAACACTTTAATAACTTTTTGTCCTAACAGGTGCAGTTGCTAGTCACAAGCCAAGATGTGGAAAATTACAAGCAGATAAAGTCAGACCTGGATCAACTGCGCTCTATAGTGGAGAAATCAGAACTCTGGGTGTATAAAAGGCTGGGGCCAGATGAGGGCATGGATGCAGGAGAGGGGCTCCTAGCTGAGCCAGAACGGAAAAAGGTGCATTATGTTGGATAGTAACACCAGAAAGTTCACCATTACATCTTGATGACTGATGCAGTCTAATACTTTTAATATTTTGCTCTGTAGGGTGACACAGGAACCACAGACAAACCCAAGAAAGCAGAGAGCACAAGCAGTTACAACTACAGGGTTGTAAAGGAGGTGATGATTTCATTAAAATGTTTTTTTTTTTAATGCAGGTTTTGTCAATATCTAAATAGTTTAGAATAAATAAACAAAAATCTCTATTCATCCATCCCTCTTAGATCCTACTGCGCCTCAGCAGGCTATGTGTCCAAGAAGGCCTGTCAGGAAGGAAAAGCAGGAAGCAGCAGCAGAGGTTGCTGAGGAACATGGGGGCTCATGCTGTGGTTCTCGAGCTGCTACAAATCCCCTATGAAAAGGTACAAAAGGATAATCATCTGTTTGAACTGTGCTGCTCTTGAGCCACTTTACTTTTCCTCATATTTTTTTTCCAAAGAACCAGACTTAATTTTTTTGTGTTCATTAAAGTGTTCTCAATCCAGAGCTTTCGAGCTACTTCTGTGGTTGTCTGTTTATTCTTTCTTGTGAGAGAATTTATTCACAAATATTTACTTATTCTCTAACGTAGTTGTAGTTGTAGGTGTTTTCCGCATGATATGCAGTGTACACAAAACTGAGTGAACTGGACCAGGTCCAGACAGAAGAGACCTGACACAGGACCTTGAAGATGAATATGGTCCTTGATTTGATCATTCTACTTTATGCCTCAGCCTTTTCAAAATATTAAATATGATGAATTTTTGGTCAAAAATCCATTGTTAGAAGCTTGTAAAACTGTTTTTTTGCTTTGTATACCTTTTTTGTAATTTTGTAAGTGCACACATTTTTGCTGATTGCTGCACCGATTGCATGTTTTTTTGGAAATGTATTGAGAAATGAAGATGGTTATGGACTTTTGGACAACACTCACCTTGGTCATTCTTCCTTCAGGGAGAAGACCTGCGCATGCAGGACATCATGAAGCTAGCCCATCAGTTTCTGCAGAATTTCTGTGCAGGAAACCAGCAGAATCAAGCCTTGCTTCACAAGCACATCAATCTTTTCTTAAACCCGGGGGTGAGCTGCCCTCCATGAGCCACTCCAAACCACATTAGAGTCGCTGAGAACTCCCTGATCGCCTCTGACTCTCCTGTCTAATTGGTCTTTTGTGTAGATCTTAGAAGCCATCACCATGCAGCACATCTTCATGAACAACTTCCAGCTGTGCAGTGAGATCAATGAGCGAGTGGTTCAGCACTTTGTCCACTGCATTGAGACCCACGGTCGCAACGTTCAGTACCTCAAGTTCTTGCAGACTATTGTCAAAGCAGAGAACAAGTTCATCAAAAAGTGTCAAGACATTGTCATGGCCGAGGTTTTGACTTGCTTCTACCCTTTTCCCTCACAAATGCCATTTATGCCACCCTCCCTCTCTGACTTAATGTTGTATTTGTTTCTCTCTAAAGCTGGTGAATGCTGGAGAAGATGTTCTGGTTTTCTACAACGATCGGGCCTCCTTTCAAACTCTGGTGCAGATGATGCGATCGGAGCGGGACCGCATGGATGAAAACAGTCCGCTTATGTACCACATACACTTGGTTGAGCTTTTGGCGGTTTGCACTGAAGGCAAAAATGTCTACACAGAGATAAAGTGCAACTCCCTTTTACCACTGGACGACATAGTGCGAGTGGTGACCCATGAAGACTGCATCCCTGAGGTAGGATGAGCTAATGGTTGTAATGAAACTTTAAATCTTCCTGTGGTATGTGGCAAAATCTATACCAAGTGACTGTTGTGATGGATCTGTCAATTCAGCCGTTAAATGTTGTGATGCGTTGCTGTATTGAAACAAGCTTTCACTATGACCTTAACTGTCATGCTTCAGGTGAAGATCGCCTATATCAACTTTCTTAACCACTGCTATGTGGACACTGAGGTTGAGATGAAGGAGATCTACACCTCAAACCACATGTGGAAGCTCTTTGATAACTTCCTAGTTGACATCTGCAGAGTAAGGGGCACAATTTTGACTCTATCCAGAAATTCAAACCTTGAAGATGCAATGATTTTTTTAAATTCCTGTTTTGTTCAGGTGTGTAACAATATAAGTGACCGCAAGCATGCAGACACCATTCTGGAGTGCTATGTTACTGAGACGGTCATGGGCATAGTAACCACCTTCTTCAGCTCACCCTTCTCTGACCAGAGCACGAGCCTGCAGGTACCTGTGTTATATGTTCCCATGCTGCTTTTTTACTGTTCACAACTTTTACAATGGCTTTAAAAGAGTTAAATTAACAGGACTATCAAGCTTGTTTTATACCAGGAAAAGTTTTAAAAAATTTAAAGAGGCAACTGTAACAAGTGACATCTTAAAAGCAAAATGCTTTGCTTTTATGGTCAAGTTTAATTCCTTTATGTTGTTCAGAACTCCATGGTCAGCAAACCCACTGCCGTAGAACGTATAACAATGTGGAATGGCTTTGAAATAGATTTATTTAATAATAAAAGTATATATAGTTGTACAGGTAAATAAAGAGTCAATGCTTCATGCTATGTAAAATCCTGCATCTGGAGGCGATAGAGTTTTAAAAGGCCAATCTCTTTTCAGCCTTCATCAAATTCATTTAAAAAAATCTTTTTAAACAGATTTCTTTTAAATTATGTGTTTATACCGTGTGAACGACATAATCGGCAAAGTATTTTATGAGTATGGGGAAAGATTATCCTTTTTTGTGTGTTTCCAAGGAAGGATAATTTCTTGTTATGTGACAATGGCTATTCTTTTTTATTTTTCAGTTAACACCTCTGTTAATGTTAAAGTGGCCGTTTAGCCTTTTTAAATGCCTCTCGGTGCTCATTAAAAAGCATATATGTATAAACTGATATAAAGTGCAGTGCTTGCCTTGTAACTCTCCAGAAAGAAAAGTCCACACTGTAAATTGGATTAGAGGCAAAGAGTGCTAAATATTAAGGACTTCACTAAGCTCTTGTGCAGAGTCTGATTCACATCACATCTGTGTAAGGTTTTGATCAGCCATCATCCCATAGACTTAATGGGTTGTAAGACAAGCCTGCTTAGACTATAACTGTTTATTCACAGATCATGTGAATAAACAACCCGTGTTGTGGGTAGATGGCTGTATATTTTCAGTTGTGCTTTATTGTTCATGCGTGTTCTATTTCTTCACTGCTTTGTTCTTTGCTGCAGGCTCCTCTGCTGAAGAAAATATTTCAGGTAGTTGTTGCAATCTTTCTTCCGCAGGGAAACAGAATATGGTGTCATGTGATTTCTCTGGGATATTGACAACATTTCTTCACCCTGTTATCAGCTGTATGAGTGGTGTGGCCTTCTGTTAAGAATGCGCAATATCGCAGATTTGAACTGGGTAGGATTTGGGTGTCCTTTGATGGGTTTCCAGCAAAGTGACAAACCATCGCTGAGTAAGCATGCTGGTCTCACCATGGGCTCAGTTGCTCCAGCGCATGTTTACAATATGAAAAAGAAAGTGCATTCTCTGTTTTTAATATTGAGTTTTCATGTTTCATTACATTCTAAATATCACCTGGTCTTATAACCTGGTAAAGGCAACCTAAGCTTAATAACAGCAGGGATAAACAGGGGTTATACATGTATCTCAAGGGTAACTCTCTGACAGCTAAACTGGGACATGTCATAGGACAGGGATCCCAAGCACAGCACTAACCAATGCTGCAAGCACTGGACCAATGCTGAGGTGTGAACATTAGAGATCTGCTGGTGATTTCATGCCTGAAAAGTTAAATAAAGATTGAGACGGATAAAATTCCTCTTCAAGGATGAGACTAATAACACCATTTTGGACTAATAACACAGCAGAAAAAATTTTACGTTTTATTTTCAAATGAGGTATTAATTCTTGGACCAGGTGAAGATGAGTTTTTTCTTTCCCAATTATGTCAAATTTTCAAATTGAGAGATGTACTTTCTTTTTCACACGACTGTCGCACTGTTTGAAAAGTGGGTGTTATTTCAACAGTATGGTGAGGACAGATGTGTTTCTTTTGTGTCACTGGGAAACTTTCTTTCTTTCAAGAGCAGAGCACTTATAATGGAAGGAAGATGATTATAAATGTTGAAAAAGTCATTTTGTTTTCTCTTGTGTCTTCATGCCAGACCAGGCAGCCTGTCTTTGTTCAGCTGCTGCAGGGTGTGTTCAGGGTCTATCACTGCCAGTGGATGACCCCAGTCCAGAAGGGCTCTGTTGAGAGCTGTATCAAAGTGCTATCCGATGTTGGTAAGATCTATGTTCTTCTCAGCACTATTTTTAAAATCTTAACTCGCAATTTTCTGGTAAAAAAAACTAAACACAACTCTCCTTTTTTGTGGTTGTCCCCTAAGCCAAAAGTAGAGCAATTGCCATCCCTGTGGATCTGGACAACCAGGTAAACAACCTGTTTGTCAAATCCAATAGCATAGTGCAGAAGACAGCCATGAGCTGGAGACTCACAGTTCGCAATGCGGCCCGAAGAGAGTCTGTGGTGACTGCTTCACGGGACTACAGGAACATCATTGAGAGGCTGCAGGTATAGTTGACGTTTTATGGACCTACTCATGCTGGTTCATTTCAACAAACGGTGAGGATGATCCCCTGTCTGTAGGACATTGTGTCAGCTCTTGAGGACCGACTGCGTCCACTGGTCCAGGCTGAGCTGTCAGTCCTGGTGGACGTGCTGCATCGGCCCGAGCTGCTCTTTCCTGAAAATACTGATTCACGCAAGAAGTGTGAGAGTGGAGGCTTTATCTGCAAGTGAGCAACCTAAATGTAGATATAGTCCTTCAATTTTACTGGTCATTTGGAAATTAGACTTAGGACCAATGTGTTTGTGCAGGTTGATCAAACATACCAAGCAGCTGCTGGAGGAAAATGAGGAGAGGCTATGCATTAAAGTTCTGCAAACACTTCGCGAGATGATGACGAAGGACAGAGGTTATGGCGAGAAGGTAGGATGTGCTGCCAAGGACAGTTTTAGTGTACATTTCCGTTGTAAGTATGATTAACAACCCAGTAAAGCATACAATCACACATGTTTGCTCCGTATTGTGTACATTGTATTGATATAGCTGTAGAACCTAACCCAGTTATAGTTTGTCATTTTGATTTTTTTCAAACATATTTTGGATTTGGATTTTGGACTTATCAGGGATTACACAATATGTAAAAGAAACTTCTTTTATCTTTGCATTTTAGTACAATTGCACGTTGCATTTGAGATTTGATTAATTTGAGTCCACTTCCTAAATCTGCATAATGTTTGTGAATGAAATTGACAGGCATCACAGAAAAACAGCAATATGAAATAATGTACAGCAAGATTTGAAGTATGAGAACAAACGAATAGTAATTTCTTTTCATTATCTTGGAGCTGTGTAGTTTATTGTGTATGATTTCAAATCATTACTCGAACTGCATTACACGGTCTAAGCAGACGGTAAATGGGTTTTTTATTTTCCAGAATGTTTCCCGGTCACTGTCACCTTTTCACAGTACAATACAGACTTTGCTCACTTTGGTGATATCTGTTCACAAACACTGTTTTTCTCTTTTTGTGTAATATTTCAGCAATCCCCACTAACAGATCAAGCTGTATCATTAATCTCAGCTTTACTTCCTCTCCCTGCGTTGTGATCTAATACCTTAAAACTTCTGTTTTTTTTTCAGCTCAGGGCCTTTGATGAGATGGATTTGCCTAAGGTTGTCTTTTTTTATTTTATTTATGTCTCTCTTTTTTTAGTTAAGCGCCTTTTGTTTTGTCTCTAACAACTCCAGTTGCTCTGTAACTGCAATGAAGCAGCTGCTGTGGCTGTGTTGTGGTTAGCGGGGGCTCTGGGCACTGCTGGTAGCTAACAAGGGGCAGACTAATCCTTTCTTAAACACCTGCCGCATTGTTGCAGTAAAACTGTGTGTAGATAACCTGACGGTGGTGAGGAGGGCGGAGGCTGGTATATGTGTGCTATGGCTGACTGCATGCTGCTCAGTAGAGTCTGGTCTCTCAAAGTTCCAAGGTGACTCACTTGCTATCTGGGCCCAGTGCCAGAGCTGTGCTTGTGTCTCTTTACTGTCTTCATAGTGGACATTTACATGCCTCATTTTGTGCCAGATTCTACCATATCAATAAAAAGTAATTTTGAACATATTTACCCTGAATTCTAATAATATGTCCGGCCAAAAACTGTTTCAAGTTTATTTTATGAGGTGAATAGCATGAAAACAGCTCAGAATCAGGTTAAATAGCACTTACAAAGAACAAATGTTCTCACTTTATCATTTACATTTTTTCCTTGTCTTTTACAATTATAATTATTTCCTATTGATTTAAATTTGCATTTAAGATAATTTTTGCTCAAAAAGGACTCAGACACAAATCATTGACTCATTTTTCTCGGTAACTATGACAGAATCACAGCTCTTTATGTGTGGCAGAGAAATAAATCCTTTGCGTGTCTGTTTGTATGTGTCCATGTTGGTGTTGGAGAGGGAGATAAGGGTGAACCACAAGTCCAGGCCTACATTTTATGGACTCCGGAGCACACAAAGTTTGAGTTTCACACAAATAGTATGTTCCCTTTCGTTGATTGCGTTAGCAAACTACTAATGCAATCTGATGGGGGGCATATTATTTATAGCCAATGGTTTTTGGGTAAGTGCTTACATAGGATGAACTTTTTATCCATCAGCAGCCTATCTGCCATACTCAGTGCGGTTTAGATTTTTTTTTTTGACATCCCAATTTGGTTTGTTTCCTGTTTCTATTTTTCATTTTTGTCTGATGTGGAGCAACTTGCTCAGTTATTTCAATGTGTGTCACGTTTAAGCTCACATGAGTTTAAAACAGATGTGATAATTAAGGCTGTGCGGCCTAAGGCTAAGAAAAGACAGAAAAGAAAGTGTAAAGGGATGATGAAAATACTACATTATATAGAATGTAACAAAGAATGTGAATAGAATAAGTTGCAGTAAGATGCAAAAAAAAACTTGCTATTAGATTATGTGGTCTAATAGCAAGTTTTTCTTGCATCTTACTGCTTCGTTGTTGACTGTTTTTCACAATGCAGGGGCAAACTTGAAAAATCTGACTTAAAAACAAGATAACGTTACTCTGAATTACAAAAGGTGAAAGCATCATAATTGATTATACAAAGCCACTAAGTGAACAATTTTGGATATATGGCTGCATTTGTCTATTAAAAAACACTCTCTGGTCACTTTATAGAGGATTATCTTCAAATTCTGTTAATCTATAAAATAATGATGGACATGAAAGGCATCGTGGAAGTTCAATATATACTTAAAAGAGAGCATATTTACGGCCCACAACAGGTTGATCAGATTTATACTCCACACCGTGCACAACCATGTTCCTACAGGTGTTTTTTTCTTTTTTCTTGTGAAATCAGCATCATCCTTTTGCTCCAATAGGGGGCGCTGTGGCTGTGTATACACGCTGTCTCTGTGCATTAATGAGTATGAGGGGCTGTGGCAGTCATTGAGGTTGTGTCCTAGTTTTTCTTGCCTGCGAGCTGCACGATTCTTGGGTCCCTGCCAACTCTGGGCTGGGGTTACATAAGAATTAGGCTTTTTTTCCTGGAACTCAGCCCCACCACTGATGCGCGACCTTCAACAGTAATTGCCAATAAAAGTGTGGAGGAGCTGTTTACCCACTCGTTATACGTGTGCACGGCTGCATGTGTGTGCACACCTGTGTGTGTAAACGCAAGTTTATCGAGATGTCTGCAGGACGGTCGGACGAGTCTTGTGAAGTGTTGCTTCTGTCTGCATGTGAGAAGCAGATGCAGTGTAACACTGCAGCCGGTTTCCACATTTGATTTTCACCTGCTTTCTTGTCATCGTTCATGTTAAATAAATGTGACACAATTTCCAAACTACTTAGAATCCTTCCACTCACACCCATTCCCACCCACACCCTTTCCCGGTGCAAACACCCTCCCTCTCTGTGGAAACCTAGCTGGATTTGGCTGTGAATGTTTCAGTGTTTTATTGTTAGATTTAGTCTTTTTTCGTTATATGTGAGTAAAGTATACCAACATGACATATAATTTAAGAGGAAAATAAATTAACGTATATGTGCCTCTGTAAGAAGAAGCATGTTGTGTATTGGTCACATGAAGTGGAACCATGCAGTATTTTTTTTAACTTTAATATAAATGCATTTCTTGAAAAAACAAACTTAGCGAAATTTGCAATGGTTGCAATGATTCATTAGGAATGCATACCAAACTCATGCTAAGTGTCAGGGAGGTGAACATCAGCTAAATTTGCTGCTCTTTTACTGTCTAAGTTATATAAGAGCCAGAGGACCTCAGGATAAACGTGCTACACTTCTTCCTCTCAAGCTGCCCTTTTCACCTGGCCTCATGGCTGTGTGGTCTTGTCAGGAGAGTTATGGAAGCCATCACATTCCTTTCTCCTTCTTGTAACACGCTTTACAGTCAGATGGCTTTAAGACAGCGCCTCATTTTACACTTGCACATTTGAATGTTTGCCCTTTTTTTTCCTCCCACCGTGGCTGCAGGGCAGTAACCTCTCTGGTCAAGACAAAAACTCCTTTTACAGGTCTGGTTTAGAAGTAGGTCAGCTGTAATGATCATGAGAGAGCACAGTACTTTAATTTAGTCTGCTTTTCAGTCTGCACAAAACAAACACTCAAGTGGTAAACCCCAGTTTTTGTGCCATCCACCGCTGGTTTAAACATGACTCAAGCTGAGGCTGCATAGACGCAGAGACCTGTTTTATTTACGCACTTTCGCGAGAAACAAAGCAGAGTGAGCTATGTGTGCGTAAGTGTGAGCACTCCTGTTTGTTTCCTCTTATGTTGAGCTAAAAGGTGTACGACTGATCGGGGATTTGCCCCGGGGAGATTCCAGTTTTGGTGAAATACTGCATAGCTGGGGCGGATGTGGCAGCTCTGAGGGGTTTCTCTGTGGTGTCTGTGGTCAGACCAAGAGTGATTACCTACACATTTACTGTGATCAGCATATTGCTCTGTGGTTTGATGTGTTCATAATGAGGCTGTATTCACAGACTTACGAAAGATGCTGATCCACCAGTGCGTCAACAAACAACACATTGCCTTCAACCCATTTCTGTACTCAACTGTTGGCATTATTACAAGTGGCTTTTGGGTGTTGACACTACAATTTATTGTCAAGGCTCAGTGCGAGACTGATAGTTGTTTTCCTGCCTGTAGATAGTTTAGTTTACATGGACTAAGTGTAGTCCTGAAGAACACTTCGATGACAGTGAGCTAGAAAAAAGCTTGTGGTCAAGAAGTGACCAGAGCTATTTTACTGTTATGCACAAAGTAAAAAATAACTATACTCTTATTGGCTACTGTTAGGCTAAAACACAAGAGTGATTCAATTTTTTTTTTTTGAATGCCTTGTCCTAAAGTGCTTTCATTTGCATTTTGAGTTTCTGAAAAATGTATGTGAACATGTTTAGTGTTTTCCCTTCTTCTTTCGTAGTCTCTCTGTTTCTCACTCTGTCTCGCTATGCACACGCTTCCCCACCCACGCAGAGAACAGCAAAATACATCCATCTCTCTCTATAAATGTTATATCTTTTTATAGAACTGTAACTAGCTGTCACAGGTTGCAATGGAGAGAGAATTATTTTGTATGTTTTGGATATATACATTTTTTTAGGTAAAATTGACTGTAAAAACCACAAATGTTTCAAGAAATACATAAGCATGACTGTCTTCAGCAACTTCACTGATCCGGTTTTTGATGTGTGACTATATAGATGGCATTTTATAAGTGGAACAGGGCTGATGCTGGAGTTAATTTTTGCAACATTCAACATAACTTTAGATTAAAATTAGCTTCAGAGAATGTGCTTGTTTTCTAATCCATCTGCAAGTTTGCAAGGGCCTGTTTTCATTGGATATTTGAATACTTACCAAACTATTTGTATTTTGAAAATTGTAGCTGTACTTTACAAACTCCACAAACAACTCTCTGGGCTGTGTAACCAGATCTGGACTGTCAGTTCAAACTGACCAGAGTCCACACACCCACTCTTCAGCATCTGTGTCGTTTTTTCTCAGCTGGAATTTGATTGCAGTGAAGTTATCAAGGTCATATATAGGTAAAAAAATAAAAATAAAAAATCAAATCCCAATGTGCTTCTGGTGACAGATGGTCACAGTAAGCAGCTCTGTGTCACTGGTTTAGTGGCCTGGTTTCTTTTGGAGTGATTATGTAACTCTAACCCTATCACCCAATGCCTCTCCTCTCCCCTCTCCCGCCCCTCCTAACATGTCCTTTTACATAACAGCGTGTGCGGCCCAACTTTCATTTTCTCTTCCATAGCGTGCTGCGTTTACAGGTACTGAGGTGTGTACAGGTGTAGAGTTCACATCATTCTGCTTCAGTAGTAAGGGAGAAAGGCATCCGAAAAGCAACAGTTCGATGCACGTAAAAGTTGATAAAGGCTCTTTGTCTCTCTTGCTGCTCAGGATGTGGTTCAAACTGAAGACTTTTCACCTTGTGATTAGTCATTTGTGCTCTTTTATTTCCTTCTTGTCATGTAGCAAAAGAAGAATCAGACATTTGAGCAAATTGGGCTATTGACCTTTCCGTCCTCCTAGTCTAACTGTTGCTGCAGCGTTGCCAGGCGAGCAATGCAGCGTCCACCAAGTCATTGTGCTTTACTAGAAGCCTTGCATTGTGCAAGAAACTGTCTGAGTTGGTCAAATACATCTGTGTCCAGCCTTTTACTCCTAGTTTGCATTGTAGTCTACAACTCAGGAGCTAGCAATTGTCAGTGGAAGCGCATTGTAAATTTCAGTCGGATCATAAGTAGAAGCTTAAATGTAAATGTTCATTGGGAGTTTACTCCCAATGAACATTTACAAAAAGATAAACAACTTGATAAATGTTGATTCTTTTAAAGCTAGTGGGTTGTAGAAGTGCTTGTAGAGGATATTAATTTATTTAAAGGTATGGCAAAGCCATGTAGTTTCCATTGTTTATAATCTTCATACTAAGCTACAAAGCAGCTGCGTATAGTTTCATACTTATCATACCAACAGTAGTTTTCAGACAGCTATATTTGAGTTGGAACTTTTTGAGTTGGAACACATTTTTCTTACTTGGTTTGGTTCACCGAATTTTTTTTACATATGTAATTTAGTTTACATCATTATTCAAAGAAGTCTTTTGGTAAACATTTGAACACAAAACGTAAATTTCAGGGATTCAAAAGTTATTGGACACTCGTCTACCAAATGCTGTGCACTGACTCGACTTTAGTTTGCTCAAAACAAGTTCTTTATCAGACTGTGGTGGGCTGAGAATCGAGGTGGCCTTTCAGAAGTAGATGACAAGAGTTTGGTTGATACTTTTAAGGAAATAATGAAATATTTGAGAGAAACAAGAAAGCGAACATGAAACAGGAAGAAGATGCCTGGTATGCAAGGAGCATAAGTCAGGTGGATGACTAACAGTAATTTGCTCGGGGAAGACAGTTTTGTTGACTGGAAATCGAGTTATGAAGTCTTTCAGGATTTAAACACTAATATTTCCTGTTGAGCAGGAAAGTAACTTAATGACATGAGCCTCAGATGATTCACATTGTTATGCCCCTCGTTTGCCTCCAAATGAAAAAAGGCCATAAAACGATTTGAAATAAATGTTTAACGTGAGAATTGGACCTGAAGAATTGGTTCTTATTCATGAGTTAAATGCCAGCAAGAAAAGCAGAAAAAATACATAGCAAGATGGAGACATTTTAAAGAGAGCGTGATCTTGTCAAATGCATCTAAACTTCTTCCATAACTTCTCACCTTTGAGCAGAACAGACAGCTTAGACGCATGGTCTTGACTGTTTAAAAGAAATGCATCAAAGTTAACATAATTCAGAGGATGAGAAAAAATAATGAGAAATAAGCTGTGTTTTTTTATACATCTGTGCAATCCCTGTTCTCAGCTAAATATTCTCCACAGCCATAAAATTTCCAAAATCCCTGACCCAGCAGTAAAAGCATGGCAACTCTTCTCTGTGCAGACCTTTGCATGGCACTTGAAACAGCTAAACATGATGTGGTACTTAACCTGACAAATTGCTCTGTCAATGCTGCATGAATACTAACTCTGTATTTGTATCACTATGCTCATGCCGCTCACTGCACCCAGCAGCTGGATCATAACCAGTCCGAGAAACTGTTGGCAGACCAGAAAAGGGTAGGTACCAGAAACAGCATGAAAGCTTAACTAACTGCTATATAAGAGGGATACATTCTTGCTTTTTTGTGTTTAATTTCTTCCTCCCAGTAATTCAAGTAACAGAAGACCCATTGTGTTTCTCAGTCATGTACATTTTCTTTAAAAGAAACTTTATGAAATCAAAATCTTGGAAGGATGAAAAAGAAGGTTTCAGGATTTAGAAGAAATTATTCACCATTAAGAGCAGGAAGTAACCATTTGACTCTAACTGGTGCTAAATGCATATGGCTGATTGACATCAGGTCGAGTAAAGGTGACTACTGTGAAGTTAACACCACCTACGTGAACTACTCCTGGCTGCGTGAGAAAATCTTCGACAGTGGCGCTTTGCATAATTTCCCCGCCGTCTTTCAAGGACCACCCACTGCTGAAAATAATTTGCACACAATCGCACACAAACATACAATCAACTCTCTCTTTCATTTCTCCGAGTTTATCCCATGGGAGGTCTGTCAGGTAGCTTTGGGCTGCAGTTGCCATATCAACAGGAAAGTCGTGCTGCTGACTGCTCAACAGTGGATGAGTCACAGTGTGGGAGGGCTGCCCCCAGGACTGCCTAAGTGAAAACCAGGACCTCACATTGTCACAACACAGTGTTGCCGTTCCTATAATAAACGGCATGTGGGCAGCAGGATGTATAAACTTTATGTTATTTCTAAAAGTTTTTTTTTTCCTCCGCACAATTTTTGATTTAAAATTGTAACACTTACATTGAACATTGGTAGGTTGACGTAAATAAAAGGGTGTGGGCATGATGCTACGATTTTCTGGGAAGAGGTCGTTTTAAAGGTCTATGAAAAATTAAAGTGCACAATACATCACTGATGTTACACAACCTCTTCTTTCTGCCAGTGACATCACATCCTTACATTCTTCTTTTTTTCCCCCTCATTGTAGGGCGAGGTGCTGAGGCAGATTCTGGTGAACCGTTACTATGGCAACTTCCATCGGAGTGGTGGGCGTAGGGACAGTCTTACGTCATTTGGCAATGGCTCCCTCAGTCCGGTAGGACCGGGCAAAAACCAATCAGGTGTGACACCGCGTCTGCTCTTGTTGCTTCCTTTCCAACACTGGACACAGACTTTGTTTCATTGATGGTTTTGTTTTGTTTGAACACACAAGGCCATGAAACGACTGATTTCAGCATCTCTGAGTTAATTCTACTGTAAAGCATCAAGTACAGGCCTGATTTAAACTGGACAGATATTTGACTGTGAGCAACAGTCATACAGAAACGTTTGCTTTTGATCAGCCAAAATGCGTCACAACATTGTGACTGGGTCTGTCTGTCTGGCCCTGAACTGGCTATCAGAGTTGTGTAATGATCTGCCCTTTTGAGCATGCAGAGCACAACAATCTTATCACCGCATGATAACATGGCCATTGTATTATTATCCATAGTCAAAATACAGAAGAAAGGCATCTCTGTTCAGTGATTCTCATTCTATGTGAGTCTTTCAAGGACAAACTTTAACAACAGAAGCAGCACGTGCAGCTAGACAGTTATTCGGATAGATTCACAGTCACCATATTGGCCTGATTATCAGAATGGTTTAAATCTGCTGTGGTGACCACACCAGTACTGCTAAAACATGGGTGTGACATAAGAATGTTTTCATCCTATTTGTGTGACTGGACGTGAAAACACAGCCCCTATGGAGCCCTTCTCTTCCCTTCACTCCCACATGCTGGTGCATGTCCAGACCACAGGCTGTAATCCCTACCTCTCTCTGATAAACTTCTTTCTGTTGCTAGGAGATAGGGTGCTACTTCCTGTGGAAACAGCCTTTGCACCTGTTGCAGAAACAGGAGCCTGAAAGAGAATTCCATATGTAGCCTGAAGCTGGGGCCTCAGCGGGGGAATTTACAGGCATAGCCAGGCACAATGACTTACACAACTGTACAGTAGCACGGTACAGGATTAGTGTATGACCTATTTTAGCTAGTCCTCTGGAAATGTCTTAGCCAAAGAGTGAATTAGAGTGCTGTGAATTCTAGAAATATATTTGGAAGTATACATTCTCCCCCTCATTTCCTTTTTACCTTCAGAAGTTTGACATGACTCAAGCTTTACGGATACTGTTTCAAATAAAAAATAAGAATGCCAATTTAGTGCAGAGAAAAATCCTGGTGGTGGAGACAACGATCTTCATCTGGTTCTTGCCTTAAATAAATGTCTTTCACAACAACATAGCCAAATGTTTAGTTTGTATCTATAATAAATGCAGGAAATACTGCAAAGTAACATGATAGACTGTAAAGCTCTGACTTCACATGTGGAATATCTAACATATGCTGCTCATGCAGGGTTAGGGGGACCTGGTGGCCTGAGTCGGGGGGAAATGAGCCTGGCAGAGGTGCAGTGTCACCTGGACAAAGAAGGAGCTTCTGACCTGGTTATTGACCTCATCATGAACACCACTAGCGACAGAGTCTTTCAAGAAAGCATCCTCCTGGCTATTGCTCTACTGGAAGGTGGAAACACCACCATCCAGGTGAGGAATTTTGTTTTGTCTGTCTACTGTTGAACAACATTTTTGAATATTCCTGGCTCATCCTGTAGAAAAGAGTATACACTTAGTTGATTTATTTATCTATAAAAAATTAGTAAATTCATCTCACTCTGTCACAGACTAAGTTATCATGAAAAGCCAGTGGGTTGTATTTGGGTCAGTGTGCCGTCATGTATATCACTTGGGTGACTGTTCTCCTACTGTCTCATCCCATATCATATGGTTGATGATCAGGGCAACCTATAGCAGTGCCGCTGCTTTAACGATAACTGTAGTCCTTTTTTCACACACCAGAGACTGTGACTGAATTGATTTATTCCTCTGTAAACTCCATCTGCCCCTGCAGGTGTCCTGTTGTGTCTCTTTGCATGCTGCCCAGTCAGTCGATCTCTCTGTCTTTTAATTTTGTCTGTCCGTCTGCTAGGTGTTGTGTAAGCAAGGGGCTTGCATAATCAGATTAGGGTGAGGAAGCCACTGAGGCAGAGATAATGCTTTGGCTTCCCACGGCTGCTGCAGAGCCGCGTCACGTGATCTGTCCGTGTTACATAAGGTCTGTGTGAATGAACAATGAGGAATGTCTCAGCCTTCAAAACATTCCAGGCTCACTCCCTCGCCTTCTCTTGCCTGCCCAAAATGGGTCATGCTGGGCCTCCAGAATTGGGGCAGTGGGGAGAGAGTGCGGAGGGATGAGGGTATACATAAGGGATTTAGGAGAAATTGGAGCTCTTCTTAACTTTGCATACTTATGGGGGTTTCTTCTGGAAAAGGACATTTCTCGGCAGGATAAGCTTTCCTCCACAGCTAGAAATGCACCACACAGATCAAATAAATGTGTTCTGTGGTTTATTACAAAGTCTTTGATAAAAGCTGGGGTTCAACCCTTTAGGCCACCAAGTTGTTTTTTTCTTCCGGGCCTCTATTTGACATATTGAGCTGAACACCTGTTGGGTGTCAGATGCCTTGCTCTCACATAACACAGTTAACTATTTACTCTTGGCCTACATAGTGAGCAAAAATAAACCGCAAATTAACTCAGCTGCATCTTTACTTTTGTACACACTCTAAAGTAATGTAAAGCAAATTCATGGATGCTCTACAGGTAATCCTGCTCATTCTTGTTAATAAAGTTTAAGAAAAGTCCTACATTGATATGTTAAAAAAATATATACACATTTCTTTTTTATGCCAGTAACAATTCAAAAGGACATTTGGAGTTGCATATTCTTTAGAAGAAAGACAGGAATGAATATGATTCTGAAAGCACAGAAAATCATTAGTGGGAGCAAGTTGTAGCTGGATCCTCTGGTGGAACTGGATCATACAAACACCTGCTCATAATGACAGGCCACCATCTTGCTTTGGCTCATGCTGGTTTATGATGGACCAAAGTCAACAAAAAACCTTTAGCGTCCTGTGATGTAACAAAGTCTGAAATCCTTTTTGGGACTACTGAGAACAATGTTCAAAAGCATGTTGGTATGGGGGTGTGTTAATCCCTGTGATGTTATACATGTATTTTGGAGCAACATATGCCATCGAGGCGACATCTAGCTTATTTCAGACGGAGGATGATTGCTCCACAGTAAAAGAATCCAGGATTTAATCAGTCCTGCCTGCTGTCCAAACCTGTCCACCACTTAAAACTGCATTACAACACGGAAAATATGAGCATTGACAGGCTCCTGATCGGCCTATTCATCTGTGCTATTGCTAAAAATCTGATTTCAAACAGGGATGAGAAATAATTTCATTTTCAGAGCTACAGCAGTTTCACTCCTCAGTTTCCAAAAGCTTCCCGAGTGCTGTTAGAAGAAGATGTTGTTAGAAGAAGAGGTAGTCCAGCACAGTGGGAAACTCTTCATCTTTTTTATTTCCATCTGAAGTCTGCTTTTCTGCTGCGGCGATGACGGAGCTCACAGCTGTAAATTGTGTAGTGACAAGGCAACTGGTGACATTTCACTCGTCAGCCATCTGCTGTCTAACCACAAGCCATGCTGCTGTCTTTCTTTTCGATCAGTTTGCAGGCTGTGTTGTCGATCTGCAAAGGATAAAAAAAAAAAACGACCTTGTTGACTCTGTTCGGATGAAAGAGAATTCTCACAGACGTGGCTGATTTGTGGAAAAAGGGGAAGAACTGGAAAAGTGGAAAAGGTCTTTGGAGAGAAGAGAGCCGAGCAGCAGTTCCGTTTGGTTTGCATGTGGTGCTGCCTGACGTGAGAGGGAGGGTGAGAGGAAAAGGGAGCGCAAGTATAAATAGCTGTTACATAACATCCCTTTGTTGATGCCAAGTGGCGGAACGGAAGGAGAGAAGGGAAAGCGCTATGACCTTGTTTTTCAGTGCTGTCCGCCTCCACCTCACCCATTTCTGTGTCTCATTCCGCTCAGGGTTAGTCTCCATAGATACAGACATGGTCTGTGTTTACTCAACACCACTGGGAGGCCTTAGATGCTTGTCCCTGTCCTCTGTGCTCTGTTACTATAACTCCATTCTATTTGCCTTGATCACCAAGTGTTAATTCATCCTTCGCGTTATCCGGCCGGTGTTGTTTTTGCTTTTCAGACGCTGTACAGATGGCGTACAGATGCAGTGGCGCAGATTTTTAAAAATGGAAGTGTTGGAACCGTACAGAGGTGGCAACGTGGTTAGACATGAAAGCTTAGGTTTTCACTTTCAGTTCATTTTCACAAGCATTTCTGTGGAAATCGTGAAATGAAAGTTTTTTTGCTTGGTGTTTGGATTTTAGTGTGGTGTCTTGTTCAACTATCAGTGACGCACACGGTCCTCTCCAGATCAGTTCTTAGAAACGGCTTTTAAAAAGTAATTCCTACAGGTTCCCCGCTCAGGGCAGGCGGCCTGTAGCGCGCTAAAACGATAATGGCTCTGATAAAGATCATGTGCCCCAGCTGACACGGTGCTGCTCCTGACATGCTGGAACCAGACAGAGAGCCTTCGCTTCAGTAATTAAACAGAAAAGCTAAACGGAAAAACGATGAATAAAATAAAAGTTCTAAGAGTTTTGAAGAAAATCCTGTGTTGCAGAGCAGGCGTGATCTGTGGGTGTGTCCTAGGCCAGAGACAGCTGACCTACTTTTGTGAGGGTAAAAGTCAGTGGGTGTATAAGCGTGTGAGCTCTCCACCCTGTGTTTGCCTCTACTGTACAAGGGTTTGTGTGTCCGTGGCAGTTATGCAATGGTAAAATAGTCAGGGAGTCCTCTACTCTTGTTTTTTTTCTGTGCTCTGATCGACGCATTTCATCCTGGCCTGTGCCTCCTGCCTCACCCTCTGCGCCCTGCCTCATCACAGCTCCTCACCCCCTCCCTCTCCCCCTCCCCTCCCAGCAGGCCCAGGCTTCAGCTGGTGGAGGACACAGTTATATGAGCACAAACAGACAGCCATGTCCATTACTGTACCCCCACGACTTCAGCTTTCCCTCCTCAGGTATGCCACCAGTTGGGAGATTGGGGGCGGGCTGGCCGGTGGTGCGGCTAATCGCATCACTGCCCTCTCCCACTATATCGTCCAGTTGTTTACTGCACGATGGCCTTGCCCGGCAGATCCCGTCTCCTCGTGCTTCTATCTGTTTGTCCCTGAGTTTTGGCAGAGTGTGTACGTGCGGGAGGTCTGCTGCTCAGTGCTCGTGGCCGGGGAGGGGCACAGGCTTTGGAATCTGTTTTGAAGAATAAGCGCACAGTTATGTCACCGTTTCTCTGGGAGCACCTCGGCCGCCAGATTTTTTTTCTCTGCTACGCGACTAGTAAATTGAGACACTGAAACTCTCTTCGGTTGTTGCTGTTTTGTTTTCTCCTTTTTTAAATTTGATCTAAAAGAGTCAACAGGGGGTTTGAGATTAGATAGAAATGCGTTTAAATTGTTAGCACGAAGGCCAAAGAGATAAACAAACAAGGCTTTTTTTGTTACATGTACTTAACATTCCTGTGACTATTATTTATTTGTTTTCTCTAGTAGCCTAGTTTTACATTTAACCTGGATGGACAGATGGTTATATAATAAACCTTGAGAAGTGGCCTAGATACTGCCTTACACCATTCTCTCCCTGTGCTTTGCTCTCCTGTTCCTTCTCCCTGTCTTAATCATTGGTTTCCTGCTATCCTCTTTCCTCCTGTATTCCTTCTTTGGTGTCTCTTTTACCTCCATCTCCATTCCTCTATCTGTGTAAGTAGGCCAGGTTTCGCCCTCTCATGTTTAATTTTTCACCCCGTTTGTGTGACAGGGCTGCTCTGGCTGATGAAAGCCTTTCTATACGTTGCACCAGTAACAGTTCTTACATAATCAAAACAACAGCCCTGTGGGCTGGGACATGGTGTATGCATTTCTCCTGGCGGCCTGAAAGTGCTCTAATTCTGCCTGACCCCATTCTGCACCTATGACTCCAGTGTTTCAACCCTCATGTCTCTGTGAACCTTTAATTGGCCTTTCTGTCATGGTTTTATGACCTTACACGACTGCTTTTGTCACATCAGTTAGACTGTTTGTGCTAAACTGAAGTCATAGAATAAACAGAAATGTCATAACTCGTAAGTTATTCTAAAACTATTTTTAACAAGCGCTATTATTGAAAGCTCATATAAAAATGACAAAAATTAAAACCCATTATAACGTCCCAGGAATCCAGAGTGGCATCTTTAATGTGAAAAAACTACATTCTGAGTTCGTGCCACAGAAATTGCTTCAACACTGAACCAGTCATAAAAAGGTCAGACGTGTATGAAAAAATGCTTCAAATTATATGTAAAGATCAACCAACGCTCTTAACCTGTATAACTTAAAATGTGTGGGCAAGTTGTTGGACGAGCGCAAATGATGCCGGAAAAGGAGTGAGTCACTCCACCTAATATGAATTGTGGCAGAAGCGCATCCATTAATTCTATCCATCTTTGGCAGAAGTTTGTAAAACTTCTTGCTTGAAATCCTCTTTCGGAATATGTTGGCAGTGATCCTCCGCTATATATAAACCCGGCTCTTTGGCACCCACCTGCTCCTGTAACTTAAATTTTCTGAGAGGGAATGCAACTCTCAAGTCGCGTCATGATACCCAGTTGGATCATTCCTAAATTAATCCGCAATATGTCACTCACTGTGTGTATAGAGTACAAGACTGTTAAGCTGGCCCTTCAGTCCACCAAACGAAAATCAGATTCTCCTTGCTGCTTGTGCCGTAGCCCCTCCAACGTCTCCAGTGCCTCATTTTGATTTCACTCCTCTCAAAATCAATCCAATATTTCTTCATGTCTGCAATTTAAGCTGACAGCCCCAGTCCTGCAAATTCTGGCATCCAGGGAAGATACACCTCTGTGATTAGGTGAAACGAATTACTAGCTGTTTGTCAAATCCACAGCTAATTGGCATGGTTGGCCAATCCTAGGCTAATGCATTGTAGTGGGCCTATTTATAACAATCCCTGGATAGAGGTGGGGCTGGCTTTTGTTTGCTTTAAATAGGTGACTCGCTGAATCGCAAAGCTATGATTTCAAGCTCAACTGTGACGAGAATAGAGTCCATGTCACAGTTGAATACAACTTTTTCTTTATTTTGCAGATTTTACCAACCGTAGGTATTATTTACACTTGGAACAACCAACCTTAACACTTTTAAGTAGTTAGGTGTGTTTTCCTATTGATTCCTATAAAACCATCCAAACTTTTGACTGTTACTGTAAAACATAAAAAACAGTGGTTCATTACATCTGCGGCAAAATGATTGTATTAAAATAGCTTTTCAAGTTTACAAAATTAATCTTCCCTTTTAATATGGCTGTTTATAGTGGATTAAGTGGATTTAACTTAGTAATGTTTTTTGGGCTCTGGCATTTGACACACGCTATCATGCAATAATGGCATTGTGTTTGATGTGCTGTGTAAATTTGATTAACTGCAGGAGAGAATTCTCCAGCACAGAATGCCTTCCAGGTGTGAGCAGTTTATGACGACAACAACTGACCTGCCTCTGCAAGGAAATACAGAGACTGAGTTTTGCCATCTTTGTCCCATGTGTCCAGCATTCATTCTTCTGCCGACTGACTGACGACAAGAACTCCGAAAAGTTCTTTCGGGTCTTTTATGACCGTATGAAGTCGGCCCAGCTTGAGATCAAAGCCACTGTAACAGTGAACACAAGCGATCTTGGAAACCGGAAGAGAGACGAAGACAGCCAGGACAAAGATGTACCAGTGCGCAAAAAAGGTCAGAGGTCACTTTTATGTCTGTGTTTGTAAGGTAAAGCTTCTAGATTTGTCTCAAAATCATTTGAGAGTTTAAATAAGCTTTATGAATTGATGGGATCATGTAAGATATTTCCATATCGTTTATTTTTCCTGTCAATGTAGCAAGGGAGTCCGCCGTGGTTATGACGGAGGACGTAAAAGAGCAGCTTTTAGAGGCCTCCTCTGCCACCAAGAAGGCATTTAACTCTTATCGGCGTGAAGCTGACCCAGAAGACCACTATCCCTCAGCAGATGGCCATCCGAGCACAGGCGACAAAAACCAGGATGATGGAGAGATGAGTTTTGTGATTGTTATCATGCAGCCTATTCTTCGCTTCCTCCAGCTTCTTTGTGAGAATCACAACCGTGACCTGCAGGTAGGTGCATCAAATGCCAGTTTGCCAGGTGTCCCTCCAGCTGATCACACTGCACTAGTGTTCTTTGTTTTGTGATCAATACATTTGAACTTCAGTAACATTTATTAGCAGGAAGTCTTATGCTTTATGACTGATCCATGTTCCCTTAGTGTTTGTTCAGGAGGTCCTGTTTTTCTTCTGCATATTTAAAAGGCTGAATTCAGTCTTTGAATTTCCTCCAGAATGAAAGTAAATGTATAATGCTATATATCAAAAAGAGGTGAAGAGAAACTCTTTGAGTGCTGCCTCTGGATATATCTGTAGAACATGAAAATAACTGTTGTTAAAAGTAATGTTACAGAGAATGATATTACGTGTGACAAAACTTATCTGAAATGCTTCATAGTTACTTTAGGCTATTTCAGAAGAGCTCAAGAATAAATCCCTGCATTTTTAAATTCTTGTGTTCTGTTTGTTTTTTAAAACTTTTTTTGCATTATTTGTGACTCAACTAGTTTGTATGAAAAAAATTAATACATTTTTCCAATTGATCAGGAGGCTAAGAATTGTCTTTTTCAGGCTAACAATACTTTTACTGTTTCGTTCTTGAAACACAGTAAAAAAAAAGTTACTGGCTCATAGCCACAGCCACTTCTATGAACTTTTCTTTTTTTTTTGCCAGAATTTTCTGCGTTGTCAAAACAAAAAGAGCAACTACAACCTTGTGTGTGAGACCCTGCAGTTCTTAGACTGTATCTGTGGTAGCACCACAGGAGGTCTTGGTCTGCTGGGATTGTACATCAATGAGAAGAATGTTGCCCTCATCAACCAAACCTTGGAGAGTCTAACAGAGTACTGCCAAGGCCCCTGCCATGAAAACCAGGTATGAAAGTGATAACACTGACAGGAACTCTTCAGTCTCTGCTAGGTCATTCACTGTATGTCTTTTTATATTATTTATATATTTTTCATATGTGTATACTGTATATATTTTAATATTATTTCTTTTACCCATGCAGAATTGCATTGCCACCCATGAGTCCAACGGAATTGATATCATTATTGCCCTGATTCTTAATGATATAAACCCACTTGGGAAGAAACGGATGGATCTGGTGTTAGAGCTTAAGGTGAATTTTGTGGGTAAAATGGAAGATTTTAGGCTGGTGTATCTGGTCTATCACAAATCACCAGCTGATTGGATGGGATAAGGTTTTTTTGTGCCTGTGTGCCAAAACAAATTGTACATTTTCTTAGAATACCTAAGTTACTGTGTTTAAAAAAAAAAACGTTTTTCCTCTCCAACTTTTCTGCTTCAGAACAATGCATCCAAGCTGCTGCTTGCCATCATGGAGAGCCGGCACGATAGTGAGAATGCTGAGAGGATCCTGTACAATATGAAGCCCAAAGAGCTGGTGAAGAATTGATCTTGTGCTTTTAGCATTGATTATCCTTTGAGAATTTGCTCATTATTTTCCAATACAAAGATCTCCTGTGTTGAGTATTGCCTTCTATATAGTGAAACATGACATTGTGTGAAAACATGTGTGTGTCTTGGCAGGTGGAGGTGATAAAGAAGGCCTATCTTCAGGGAGAGGTAGAGTTTGAAGACACAAGGGAGGAGGAGGACAATGGAGACGAAGAGGAACATGATGCTGCTTCCCCCCGAAACGTCGGACACAATATCTATATTTTAGCTCACCAGGTCTCTATTAATTCATTTCTATAAGTCATTTGAGATTCATATGAAACGCTGCATGAGACTCATTGTAACATAATTAGGGAAACAACAATTTGTTCCGTGTGTACTTAAGACGTGCTGTTTTTCTGACACACTCACACTTGTTGGCTGTCTTTCCTTCAAACAGTTGGCGCGTCATAATAAAGAGCTGTCCATCATGCTGAAGCCAGGAGGGGCCAGTGGAGCGGGAGACGAGGCCTTGGAGTTCTATGCCAAACACACCGCGCAGATAGAGGTTATTAAACAAAGCCCATGTCACAGAATATTACCCCAAAAAATGACACATGCCACCATGAAACTGCCACACATTTGTGATTGTGGACCAACACAGAGCCCATATGAGGTAACGAGGAGTCTCTCTGTTTAGATTGTACGTCAGGACCGCACCATGGAGGAGATAGTATTCCCTGTACCCAACATCTGTGAGTTCCTGACCTCAGAGTCAAAGCTGCGGGTGTACTACACCACAGAGAGAGACGAGCAGGGCAGCAAGATCAACGACTTCTTCCTCCGTGCAGAGGACCTTTTTAATGAGATGAACTGGCAGAAGAAGCTCCGAGGTAGGTCGAAGACTCACCGCGTATAATGCAGCTGCTAAGGCTGACTGAGGAAAGTGTTTGTGTGGGCTACGTGGCACAAATTGTATACATTTGTCTTTTTTTAAGATTACAATCGCATACACAACCTCAAAGACTGATTTCAAGAAACATGTCACAGTTGGATGGTTGCGATTCACTCTGTGGAGTTTGCATGTTTCCTGTGCTAAGGTTCATAAACACACGGGTTATCTCGAATTAAATCTCCAACGTGCTCAAATGTTGGAAGGCAACTGTTTCATCGTGTCCCAGTGACAGACTGGTGATGATTCCAGCCCAGGCAGGAAGAGTGTGGAGAAGGGATGAAAGGCTGTGCATCAACTGTGTCTGTGTTGAGCTACATGTGCATGTTTCCGCTGTGTAAAAGCAGACTGGGGCTTTCCACATTCTTTGAGCCATGAAACATTTGTACAGTAACCTTATGATTCATAAGTGAGACTGCAGGCTCATGCACACAACGTACACACTCAGACCCGCACCCACACTCAATCACACTCTTTATCCACATATAAGACTTCATACCCACACAAAGCCTTATTTTGTCTCTCACTTAGAGGAGGGGATGGACAGAGAAAAGTCCCTTCATCCGTTACTCTTTCGCTATAAAACCTGAGTTGAAAACATAGTGCCTGAAACTCAGATTGTAGGCTGGAGGCATTTCTGTAGAGTTCTCCCTTTCGGCCTGACCTTTTTGAAATGTGTTTTCAATGGTATCATATAACCACAAATAAAGTTGTTTCGTTTCTTGTTTGCTGTTTTCAAACGTCTACATTTTTTTATGATTTTTTTTTTCTCACCTTAGCAATTACAGCACAGTTACCTCCAGCCTTTCATTTCAACAGCAGACTAACGGCTGGTTAACGCGTTCATCTGATTGAATATCAATGTCAGAGCCATGTTTCACCCATTAAGTTTTACTTCTCCGCAACAATCACAAGATCAGCAGCAAACTGCTTTTTATGCAGTTTGTGATGTTTCAATGCTTCTCTATGATAATAAAAAAAAGATGAATAATATGTTTTTGACCATCGAGAACATTTGCAACACTAAATAATAATGAAAGTTCCAGTGAGTGAAAGAATTGATGGCTTCCTCTCTCCTTTCCAGCCCAGCCGGTTCTTTACTGGTGCTCCAGAAACATGTCAGTGTGGAGCAACATCTCCTTTAAACTGGCTTTACTGATGAATCTGCTGGTCTGCTTCTTCTACCCTCTGGAGGGGGTGCATGGAGGTCAGTAACATGAGTTGATACTTCAGTTTAAAAACATTTCAAACTGGCTTTGGCTCTCATCTTGATGCTTGTTTCAGTATTAAGCTTTTAATTGCATTTCCACTTGTTAAGAAGCAATAGTTGAAAAAGAAAATTCTATACTTTTAAATCAGAAGTCGGTATTTAATTAGTGTTATAAGAAGACTGCATCTCATATTGAATGTTTTCTGTTTTATGAGGGAATATTTTTTCCTTTTCTTGCAAGGATATTTGATATCTTTTAAAATCAGATTCAGACAAAGGTCATTCACTGAACAAGCAAAACAGAACAAGGACAAGGGTTTTTCTGGCATGTTTTTATCCTACTATAAAACTCTTCCATTGCATTTTCCTACTTGTCTTGACATGGGTGGACTGACATGAATGTAACTGATATGTATGTATTTTATTAAATGACAACCGCAGAAAGGTTTGACTTTACAACCAGAATTGGTTGAAGAAATGGCACAAGTTAAAAGGCTGACTCTCGGTTCTTCTGCAGGGAGTCAGCACTGACCTACTGATCTGCTTTCGCCAAAGTGTTCTGATCTACTGACTTTCTAATCACATGATCAGGATTAGGAGCAGGATTTGAGGAGCCTGTTATCTCTATTCAAGAGACACTCGCAGCTTTCATGAGCTTCTGCTCATATTTGCCCTCCGGCATTGTGGATACCACGATAAACACCGCAGGACAGTCTAAGTTGCATGTAAACAGATCGCACATTTACATAAACAAGGAAAACGATATGTCCAGGTCATATATATATATATATATATAAAAAGTCACTTATAGTAAGAGGACATTATTGACAAAATTAAAAGAACGTTTGAGCAAATTTTCCGTTATATGCTACTGTATATGATGTTATCCAGAAAATTGTTTTGTTAAAAGACATCATAATAGCCTATGAAAGAGCCTTCTTGGACAGTTTTCATTTAGCTGTTATTATTAGATAAATCAAAACAACATTACATTCTCTAACTAAGTAATATGATTTTTTTTACAAGAAAGTATAAATATGAACAGTTTGCAGTTACAAGAAAGTGCATGTAAAACCTTTTGGGCTTTTTCTAAGGCCGATTAGCAGGAAACATGGCCACAAGAACTGAGCTCTCATTGGAAACAACTACAAAAATCCCTAAGGGTAAATCAACACTGTCTCTAGTAAAATATGCTGCTTGTTTACAGTCAGCTTTGTCTCCCACTTGGAGCTAGTACAAACAAAGTAAAAGGGTTTTCATAGAAAAACACACAGGTTAACCCTAACCCTAATGAGGATGTCAAACTACCAGGGCAAAATAGACCTCTAATCACTAGGCCTTATAAGATTAATATGTACAAAAAAAAAGATTAAAAACAAATAGTCAGAAACTGGAAAGTTTGTGTAAGAAATGGAGAAAAAAAACACTAAAACTTGAGTAACTTTGTGTAAACTTTAAGAAACCAGAGCTTTTGCCAGGTATTATATATCTGTGTACGTAAATAGATAAATCATATTTATATTAAATTACTAACATTTTGCATTTTTCATTTAGGATTGCACATACCATATACATAGCTAGATTATTTAAAAAAATCTACAGACTAAAAACCTGAGGATATGATTTAAAGACATACACACATGCATACACACCTGCATGTGTGCTCGTGCACACAAAACGTTATACAACATGGATAAGGTCTGACTTTATCTTCTCTACTCTGGAACTGGGTATTTCTGCAACTATCTTCACGTGAGACTTCAGCACAACTTTGACCTGCTTAAACAGGCACTTTTATGACTTTTGACCTCTTCCTTTTGTTACCCTCTCTCTCCCCTACACACACACCCACTGTGCTCTCCCCTCCCTCCTTTGCTTGTGGCTTTAGAATAAAGGTTATAAGAGCAGGAGATCTGGGTCAGTGTGTTCTGCCTGCATGCATGACTGAGTGCCTTTTCACGAATATCCGCAGTTAGCAAAACACACTCATAATGCAAGTTCACATTCAAAGTGTGCATGTTGGCAGCTTTGTCTAGTGCTGATTTTCTCTATGTTTGCACACAGTTATCTGCCCACACATTAAACAGAAGAATGAGGGAGGTAAAGAGTTTGTGAGAGTGTGTAAGCACTCCCCTTTTAGTCTACGACCTCAGCGGAGCTCCGTGCTGCTCCCCACTCATTCTTCATGAATCTTTCAGCTGAAGTATTTTTAGAGGCTGTTATGTAAGTGGCACCTGTCATGTGATCTCCATAGGATTTGGAAAAGAGAGAGAACGAGAGATGGGGAAAGAGACAGAGGGAAGCAAATGGGCAAAAGAAGGGTTTCCTTAACTGCAGCAGTTCCTTTCTTTGATAGGTTGTTGTTTATCTTTTTATTTTGTAGTTCTGACACATTTTCCCCGCTCCCTGTGTTTTTATGGCTGATCTATGGCCAGCGTCAAAAGGGTCCTTATACCCATGTATACATCATTGTTTTGCAGAGGGATATCAATTACCCTGGCTGTAGGTTGTGTGTGGACTGGCTTTTAGATTCGTCCAATCTGCTAAATGATTTTAGTTTGAGGGACTTGTTGCCACGTGAAACTTGACTAGGACGCTAATCCTGGATTTACCTAAGGATCAAGGGAAGCATTGGGTTGGCTCTCACTAAAGCTTAGTTTGCACAGAAACCCACTTAATCACATCAAAACTGTGTCATAAACTTTGGCTGTTATGTAAGTGGTTCTCTATAGGTCCAAATTCTCCATAATGATGAGGACTTTATTGAAAGACTCTTGATGATCCATGACAAAAAATTTCTTTGAGTTTATCCACACAGTGTTTTGTTTAATATACCAAATGCATTAACTTTTCAATGCCACCTTTGTCAATTTCAGTTTTCGAGTGGCCTTTTTGCCGGACATCCCTTACAGCTTTCCTCTGCGTTGTATTTTGTTTTTTCCAGGAATGCTGGATCCCCATCTATCTGCGCTGCTGTGGATGGGAGTCTTTGCAACACTGGTCATCGTTGTCATCATGCCCCAACCGCTGGGCATTCATGCCCTGGTCACTGTCTCAATTCTTCGCCTCATCTTCTCGGTGGGCCTGGAGCCCACGCTTTTCCTTCTGGGTGCTTTCAATGTGAGTGATCACGGCTTAGTCTCATTAGATTACAAGAAATGATAATTACTCACAGTGGATTTATTTTTTTGTCGTTAGGAAAGTTTTTCTATACATGTTGCCACCTGTATCTAATGAAGCGAGAAGTGACTATCTTCAGCTGGCAACAAGTTATTTAACCCATATTGTTGCAATTAGAAATTTCCTCATTTCTTGCACACATCCTGCGGTTGTGTACTCAAGAAGGGTCAAATCATTGGCATTCATCACGCAGATGAAACATCTCAGAAGATTGCTGAAACTACTAAAAGTGGGTGAAGAACTGTCCAAGGCATTATTAAACACTGGAATGAAAGTGGGGAACCATCGCAGGATTCTTGTCTAATGCAAATTCTGACTGTGTAAATCATTTGAGTATTTCCTCTTATGGGTACAGGTGAAAAATATATCTCTGTATGGTTATTAGATGTTTGTATACAGTTTCACCTACAAAGAAACTTCCACTTTATCAGTTCCACTTCTCCTTTCAGCTCTCACACTCATGCCCACTTGGCATGCCGCCGTATGCTCGCCTGTGGTGTTGCTCCCTGTTATACTACGTTCTCTGGCAGAGCCTTACTGTATCATGGTGAAATGCCTCCTCGGCTACCTTGAAAGCAAGATAACACCCCTTTACCTCTCAGAGATTATAGATGTGCTCCTAAACTCCCTACGCTTAAAAAAAGACTGTTTACTCACTTTGTTTATGTGCTGAGAGAAAAGCAGGTTATTGAGAGAAATCAGGTTAAGACAAGAAATCGGAGAACATGTTACCATGGACTCCAGCAACCTGGTTACTGTAGAATCTGGTCAATGTCCAGCAGGTCAGATTTCTCGGTCACATTTTGTTTTTATCAGTTTCTGTCTTACAAATCGAGGTGCCGTATAAATAGGTCACATTTCACCTGTGACATGGGCTGTGACTGGGATACTTTTCCTGTCCAAAACCTTTATCAGCCACATAAACCCAGAAAGAAAATTAACTCAACACACGGTATATATGACAGATAATTCAGGTTTCTCAAGCAAGCATCTGCTCTGGATGTTAGACCAGGTTTTTCTTAATCCCATTGTTATTTGGGTGAAATTAAGGTTCAGGTTATGCCTCTCATACATGACTAAATCGTGTCCTTTTTAGTGCAGATGGCAGCCTACTGCTGCTACTACTGCTGTCCATTTTTTTGTAATAGACTAATTATTCAAATATCCTGCATTTGAATTATTAATTAATGTTGGTTTTTATTTTCCAGGTTTGTAACAAAATCATCTTCCTGATAAGCTTCGTTGGAAACCGAGGAACCTTTACACGAGGCTATAAAGCCATGGTGATGGATTTTGAGTTCCTCTATCACCTAATCTACCTCATTTTCTGCTGTCTGGGGGTGTTTGGCCATGTCTTTTTCTACAGTCTATTGGTAAGAGAAAAACAATTCACCCTCTCCTCTATACATATACAGTACACTTCATAAGAAAGCAGAATATTATGAGTTAAAGGTAAATCCTGTCTTTGAATTTAATGTAAGCCTTTTACTCCGGTATACTCAAGGCCATTCCCCTAAGAAGTGGGGTGCTGGTTTATTTGATAGTCCAATGTTGTAAAGGTGTGTGGTGATGCCACAGGACTGCTTTTGAACATTAATCATTTGAAAATGCTTCCGATGCATGTGTCTGAGCTGCTCTCTTGCCGTCACAATATACAGAGCAATCTGTGTCAGACAATAAATATATGAATAGATTCATGAATGTGAGTTTGAACACATCCAGACCGACCAGCAAAGCCTTTGTAAAATGCACTCTGTCTCTGTAGCTGTTTGACCTGGTATACCGAGAGGAAACCTTGCTGAATGTAATCAAGAGTGTGACTCGTAATGGACGCTCCATCGTGCTGACGGCGGTGCTCGCCCTCATTTTGGTCTACCTGTTCTCTATTGTGGGATACATCTTCTTTAAAGATGACTTCATCTTGGAGGTGGATCGTATCCCCAACGCAACCCAGAGTGAGCAAAGACTAAATCTTTTCTCAGTTTTATCAAGCAGATTTAAAACATAACAAGTCCTGCATTTCCCAGCAAGAGTTATGCACTGTCCTTTATCACCTTCTAGAGAGTGGAACCAGTCTGGCTGGGGAGTTTCTCTCCGCAGGAATGTGTCAAGGAGGTATTGGTGAGAACTGCAGCAGTGATGCTCTCCAGGAAGGTAATATAGCATGTGTTTTTCCATAAGTCACAGTTTCCTGATGGTCGATAAATTGAGAATTTAGTGTTGTTTACAACACGGTTAGTTTATATAATTGTTCATTCTTTAAAATAAGGTTAAAAATAGAATGCAAGAAGCTATTCTCCCAGACTTGAGCCCTGTTTTAGTTCACCATGTAATAAAACATGTTTACAACAAATTTATATGATAGGTAAAACGATAGGTTAAGGTTAAGGATTGGTTTCTTGTTTCATCTCTATACTAACAAATTTATATTTAAAAAAGTCACGAGCTTATAAAAGAATAAACGTCAAGAAGAAGATGGCAGAGAACTCAAGCATCTCAGGCAACAATCACAGTAACCAAATGCAACATTTTATGATTTTATTTGTCAAAATAGATATATTAGTGCAACTAAAACAGATGATAGCCACCATTTCTGTTCTGCATTTTATCACCATATCTACCAAGTGCATGTTACTCTTTCAAATGTCACATGACTATCATTTGACCTATGTAACTCACAAGCAACATCATTGACCCCAGCATGTGACATGTGCCATCACGTCCAATACGATTAGAACAGTTTTTTATACCCCCCTAAAATAATAGTTTAGATTAAGGCTAACAAATATTACCATTAATTACGACAAACTCAAGTTCTGCATTGCACTTTGTGTCACGACTGTTAAAATTATGCCAATCTTACTTCTAACTATTGTAAAATGACCTTTTAAGCTCTTTTAGATTTGAATAGCTACGGTTATACTCGATATTCAACACACAGGTTGACTATATACGTACAAGAATGGCAGTCACTAAACCATTTTATCTTGGGTTGATATAAGTTGGTTGATAACATTTATGCCTTGTGTCAAAGTGCATCATGCCATATCATATCATATCATACCTCTCTTTCAGTTTTCAATATAGATTCTACCTAGACATGTTAGCTCAAATTTTCTTGTATACAAATGTAATTGTATACCATGATTTATTAGGATTTTAGGAATTTAGTGAGAGCTTCAAGACAGAGTTTGGTTTTAACTTTATGTAAAGAACTGGCATGATGCCCATCCAATTACTGGATGCCTGGTGATTCAATTTCAGTAGAATATAACCCTAAGCAGTGATGTGACTGTAATGTCATAACTGTGTTTTTATAACATCTTAAAACATCTTTATGAAGTTTGAAAAGTCAAATTAGTTGTCCTTTCCGCTGCCGCAGATTCTGGGAGTGAAGATGAGGAGGACAGTGACATGGAACGGACCTGCGACTCTCTGCTGATGTGTATTGTTACGGTGCTGAGTCACGGCCTGAGGAGTGGAGGAGGCGTGGGGGACGTGCTCCGTAAGCCTTCTAAGGAGGTATATGGCAACATGACTGAGCTTCTGACTATTTGTGTGTTTTAGCTGAGAGGGTGTGACACCCGCAGATGCAAAACAAGTCATGTGAGTTGGCTATGAGCTCATAGTGCTCTGAACCTATTAGAATTTCAAAAGCAGAGAAGTTTCACAATGTTTCCTCGCAGCTGCACTGCCTCCAGCTTTTGTGATAATTAAACCTTAAAATAGATTTCTACTGAATTTGGGCTAAACCACAAGTTTTGTCAAAAGAGGATGTGAATAGCTGCTATACTTACTCACAACACATTGCAACATATTTTGCTACTTTATAAGTTTTCTAAAGAAAGTCGTGGTCTCTGATAGTGGCATGGATGGCATGGCTCACTACACATTTTCAAAAAGCCAAGCCTGTGATAAATGAGTGTTTTTGTGACTGCGCTAGGCCGGGGCTGGAAGCCACTTTAGGGTAGTTTATTGCAATCTGTGACAAACTCATCCCATTACTTATTAACTTAAAAAGTGCAGATAATGCATGCTGAAGGTAGCCCTTGTGGCCTTGTTTGTATTGGCATTAATGAAGGCCAAAATTATCCTTATTTTAAACTGAAATTATTATCCTTATTGAAGTAGCTTGGGCAGTCTTTTTCATCAATCCTCCAGCCTGATATACAACATAAAGTGATTGTGTCATGTATCATTTCAGTTTTTAAGATGTCCTTTTGGGCATATTATACAATTCTATTGTCCTTTTCCTATCCAGGAGCCACTGTTTGCAGCCAGAGTGATATATGACCTGCTGTTTTTCTTCATGGTCATCATCATTGTCCTTAACCTAATCTTTGGTGTAATCATTGACACCTTTGCTGATCTGAGGAGTGAAAAACAAAAGAAAGAAGAAGTTCTGAAGACTACTTGCTTCATTTGCGGTGAGAAGGCTCAGCCTATCAGTCAAAGAATCTGATATTGCTTGTTTATGAGTGAGACATAAAAGTAATTGAAAACATAAAAGGTGGAGCTGAGGATGGGGTTTTTTGGTTTCTTTTAGCATTCTCGTGGGGTACTACATTGACTTGATATTGTTGCTACAAATACACTATATTGCCAAAAGTATTTGCTCACCCATCCAAATTATCGGAATCAGGTGTTCCAATCACTTCCATGGCCACAGGTGTATAAATTCAAGCACCTAGGCATGCAGACTGTTTTTACAAACATTTGTGAAAGAATGGGTCGCTCTCAGGAGCTCAGTGAATTCCAGCGTGGAACTGTGATAGGATGCCATCTGTGCAACAAATCCAGTCGTGAAATTTCTTCGCTCCTAAATATTCCACAGTCAACTGTCAGCTGTATTATAAGAAAATGGAAGTGTTTGGGAACGACAGCAACTCAGCCACGAAGTGGTAGGCCACGTAAACTGACGGAGCGGGGTCAGCGGATGCTGACGCGCATAGTGCGAAGAGGTCGCCAACTTTCTGCAGAGTCAATCACTACAGACCTCCAAACTTCATGTGGCCTTCAGATTAGCTCAAGAACAGTGCGCAGAGAGCTTCATGGAATGGGTTTCCATGGTCGAGCAGCTGCATCCAAGCCATACATCACCAAGTGCAATGCAAAGCGTCGGATGCGGTGGTGTAAAGCACGCCGCCACTGGACTCTAGAGCAGTGGAGACGCGTTCTCTGGAGTGACGAATCGCGCTTCTCCATCTGGCAATCTGATGGACGGGTCTGGGTTTGGCGGTTGCCAGGAGAACGGTACTTGTCTGACTGCATTGTGCCAAGTGTAAAGTTTGGTGGAGGGGGGATTATGGTGTGGGGTTGTTTTTCAGGAGCTGGGCTTGTCCCCTTAGTTCCAGTGAAAGGAACTCTGAATGCTTCAGCATACCAAGACATTTTGGACAATTCCATGCTCCCAACTTTGTGGGAACAGTTTGGAGCTGGCCCCTTCCTCTTCCAACATGACTGTGCATCAGTGCACAAAGCAAGGTCCATAAAGACATGGATGACAGAGTCTGGTGTGGATGAACTTGACTGGCCTGCACAGAGTCCTGACCTCAACCCGATAGAACACCTTTGGGATGAATTAGAGCGGAGACTGAGAGCCAGGCCTTCTCGTCCAACATCAGTGTGCGACCTCACAAATGCGCTTCTGGAAGAATGGTCAAAAATTCCCATAAACACACTCCTAAACCTTGTGGACAGCCTTCCCAGAAGAGTTGAAGCTGTTCTAGCTGCAAAGGGTGGACCGACGTCATATTGAACCCTATGGATTAGGAACGGGATGTCACTTAAGCTCATATGTGAGTCAAGGCAGGTGAGCAAATACTTTTGGCAATATAGTGTAGCTCTGCAAACACAGGCTTATACGCTGAAGCTTTATGCTCCCAATTTGGACACTGTTCCAAAAAATTGGGAACAATCTGAAATATGAATGACTCTAATTCATGCTGGTCCGCGTAAAACACGCTTTAGCTACGTCATGCCACAGAGAAGACAGATGTTTTACAGGACAAAGTCCTGCTTAGTGGCCGAGGGATACTTCCTGTTTTTCGCTCTTCGTGCACTTTGTGAAGTGATCCGTAATCATCTCCTGTCCACCACTTGTTACTTTATACCATTCATTATTCAACCAGTGCCTTGACTCATTTTTCATGGCAATGCATCACCTTTTTTTGGGTATCCACCACACAAGGCTGTCTGCACCGCTCACACCCACACTGTTTGAAAGAATAAAGGTACTCAACCGGCCTCAGTCGCTTCCAAAAATTCCACTGTGCTCTGATTGGTCTGGAGATGGATGGATGAGCAGACACTGTGCCAGTGTGTCACATGGTGATGTAGATAAGGACGCAGTGGAAAGCCTGTGCACATTCTTTGGGGCATGCCTTGACAGCGGCTGAACTGGCAGCATAAATGTTGTATTGTTCTGTGGTGTTGTTTGGTATCCATGTCGTATACGATTGCATTCTAATATTAACTTAATGTGGTTATTGAGTTTTATTTTTATGAAAAGGAGCAAAAGAACAGACAGAAACAATAAAGTCTAGGAATAATGAAATCACGGAGGGTGTCTGATTAGCCATTGCTCTCTTCTTAGAAGGGCGCTGTACTTGAAACAGTTCCTTTAATTCCCAAATCCCCCCTTCAGAAGATTAGATTTTCTGGTGTATTTGTAGTGGAAAGTACATCTATAAAGTAGTTTGTTACAGTTCCCCTTGACTCTTCCTCCCCCCTTTTCACTTTACTGTTGTTCCAAAGAAGGCTGAGTCATGCGGGCTTCCTGCCACTGCTCTGTTCGCCTCCATAATTCATGTCTGTCTCACACACATTTTCACCTACTCACTTGCCCTCTTACTCACATGCACACACTTAATTTCATTACCATATGTTTTATAGAACTTTGCATTTTGCCCAAACTGTGTCCCTCGTCCAGTAAGACCCTCCTTTAAACAAAATATGTCAAACATGCTTGCGTATCTAAACAGGTCCACACCCCACAAATTGCCTATGTGCACCCTAATGAACGTGAGCCCAGCAGTACATGCTGCATGCAGGCATGTGTGTGTTGGGTCAGATAGCGAGGACAAGTGGTAAGCATATGGAACGAGAACAGTATTATGTCAACCAGCTGGCCATTGGCTCTTAGTCACTCACGTTAAATAAGGCCAGGCCACAGGGGGAGCTGCTGTCTCTATGGTTTCCACGAGAACCACAACAGAACAGGAGATGTTGAGATTAGATTGCCATTTCCTCAGGATTTGACTGGCCTGACGTCTTCTGCCCAGTCTCATAAGGTATTGATTTGTCCCTTAATGTCTCTTGCATTAGTTTGTGGCTCTCATGGGGACCAATGATAGATTTACGTCATGAACTTCCCGCGGCTGAAATTATTTTTATGCAACAGAACGGGCTCAGGGGGGCAGTTAAAAAATAGTGATTGTGTTTAAAGTATCAACATGATTCACGAGTCCAACGATCATGTTTAATGATAAAAATATAACTGCCTTCCCCCACAGTTGATATTTCTCATTTATTTTATTTATTCAATGTTGTTCTCAATGACAAAATGCATTTTTGAAAGGGAGTTTATTTGTTAAAATAATCAGACTTCATGGCAACAGAAAAATACATAAATAACATTATCTTGCATTCACTTTACAGGATGCCATTCTGTTGCAAACTATTTATCCATAAGAAAAATCTTGTTGCAATGTTCTAAGACGCTTCCTCTTGCCCACTATCTTGTGTTTCTTTTTTGCAATATAAGCTCCTCGGTTAAAATTAATGGAGAGGAAAATCCACACCAATGGAAGAGAAGTTACTGCCTTTTGCACATCTTTTGACATGTAGTTTTTTCCCCTGCTCCTTATCTACATCACCATGTGGAACACTGGCACAGTGGCTGCCCAGTGGCTACTTTGGCATGCATCTAACAAAGCTGTCTAATATCACAGAATTGTTCATCTATCATCCGGTTAATCAGAGCAGGTTGGGCCCCTTGGGACGGGGACCCTGATAGAGACAGAGATAGAAGCTGAGACTTTCACACAAAAAGCCATAGCTGCTACAGAGTAAGATGGTGATTTTGATCAATAAAGCACACCAAAATGTTCCAGTAGACACCCAAAAGAGCATCATAAATCTTTAAATAAGTATTTCATTGGCCTATTTAAACGAGTACTTATCCTTTAAACCTTTGAACTTACACTTGAGATGTCTGAAGCAGCACCATTGTTTTAATCTTCCACTGACTGAGCATATTTGGTACATATTTTATGTTTATTTCATTTTCTTGAAACAAACTTTTGACCCTAGCAATGCTATTCTCAGCCCCTTCTCTCATGAAATAAAGAATTTGATCAGACTGGTTGGCTCCCGCAGAGGCCTGATATTAGCTTCATGGTGTCAGCCCTTCATAGTAATCATTGGAGTACAAGAAAACTGTACTCCAACAATATGCGGAAAGTACCCCATGTCTGCCTTGAGAACCTGCAAGTGTGAAAAGGAAACTTGAGCCCATTTAAAGAAGAAGCGTGGCCTCATGTCACGTCACCTCGCGTTTATATGACAAACACAACTTGTGTCCTGTTGCAGGTCTGGAGCGTGACAAGTTTGACAACAAGACGGTGACTTTTGAAGAGCACATCAAAGAGGAGCACAATATGTGGCACTACCTGTTCTTCATTGTGCTTGTAAAAGTTAAAGATTCCACAGAGTACACAGGCCCTGAGAGTTATGTGGCTGAGATGATCAAGGTAAGCTAAAAGCTTGGAAAGCCCCTTCAAAATTGACACACTTCATCCCCTTAGTGCATAGTGGAACCCAGTGAGTTGTGATCAGGTTTAATTCAACTTGAGTTCACATTTCTGTGGGCAGGTTGCATGTGATCACATACAGCTCAGGTTTTAGTTAATACTAAACAGCATTTCTAGTGTCTCTGAGACACATATTTTTTTCTATTCTGTCATTTTCCGTCAGTTCTTGCTGTCGAACCACTTGCACTAATCAGTTCCTGTTTTTAAGTCATATCTGAAAAACACGCAAGTTATGCCCGTTCAACAATGCAAACCAACTGGTTCAGAAATAGAAGAAGCCAGTGGAACAAAAAATAAACTGTATGCTATCTAACCATAAACAAACTGATCAAAGACACTGATTAAGACTAACCCCAATATTAGCAAATCACATTTGAAATTCTGTTTATTTTTGAACATCCTTAACTCGTGGTATATCTGTTTCAAAGACAATGTGCTTGATTAAACACAGGAGCACAACCTGGACTGGTTTCCTCGGATGCGTGCCATTTCCCTGGTGAGCAGCGATGCAGAGGGGGAGCAGAATGAAATCAGGAACCTGCAGGAGAAGCTGGAGTCAACCATGAGGCTGGTGTCCAACCTATCTGGACAGCTGACTGAGCTCAAGGAGCAGGTACCTTCAGTATCAAGTGACAGATCTGCTCACGCGTCTTTAATCTCCCAGCATTCAAAGCAACTCCAGTTTCAAAATGACAATATATGCTGATCATACATTTGATGTTGCTCCTTTTTGGGTGCTCTTTTCCGCTTTCATTTATATTCTTTTTATTTATTTTTATTCTATGTCCTGCGTTGTTTACAACTCTTCAGCAAACCCTACATGCATGGGTGCATGTGCCCAGTCGCACAGAAAAAGTGGCCATCGATTTTTCATAATGTAGTCGGGATTTTATGTGATCATCGTTTCAAACTGCTTGCAGTCATTTTAGCTTAATTTATTTGTGTTACTTTGGTTTAAACCCTTTAAATGTTGGCATCTTAACCAAAGTGAACAGGAAGCATCAAATTGGATCACTACCGGAGTACTTTCTTTTAAATAACATCAGTTTGATTTGGATTTTAAAATCCCCTTTGCACTGTTGGGTCTTTTTCTCTTTTTGCAGATGACAGAGCAGAGGAAGCAGAAACAACGAATCGGACTTCTGGGTCATCCCCCGCACCTGAACATCAATCCTCAGCAGCCTGCCTGAGGACCCTTAAGGCCGCCTCCATCAGTGCCTGAGCACCCCAGACCGCGTGCCTCGTGTGAGACAGAAAAAGACCAAAATATGTCCATCGCAAGTATGTATTTAGGTCAGTGTCTTACTGTGTTGTTCACCAGACACTCGTAGGATATGACTCTTATGCAGGCGTGTTTGCATCTGCATGAAGTGCAAGTCAAAACTCCGTGTTGTGTGGGCGCGTCCGTGAGGTTTTAAAGGTCCACAAAGTGCCTCAGGAGCCGAGAAGCCAGTCCCGCAAGTCTAAGAGATGAACCCGCTGACTTCAGCTTTACTACACGGACTGCCTTCAGCATTTGACTCCTCTGACAGCATGCCAAAGTTCAGCCATAGTCTCTGAGGGACTTTTCCTCTCAAGTGTCCTTGTTTTGAGGTTTTAATTCTCACTGTTGCACCAGTGTACTCAGGTCACATGTTGATTTGAAGGTTAGTTTCAACCCAACAACACCTGATTTATTTTTCTTTCTTTTCTTTTTTCATCTGACAGCAATAGGAATGCTCTAAAATATGCAATATCTAAATACAAATTAATTATGTTGGGACTTTATTTGCATTTTATATTTGAATGTGTTTATTCAATATTTGAAATATAAATACAGCATCTGTACACAAATACAGCATCTGTACACAATCCTGAAGACTTTGGTAAAGTTTTCCACTGGCTGTTAATCTTGTTACAAAATCTATCATATGAAGTGTTTTTATTTTCCATCCTTGTTATCACTTTAAGAATTCCTTGTTATATTTCCTTTGGATAAAAAGACGGGTTTGAGGTTACAATAAAGGTTTTTTGTAAAGATCCTTTCATAACTAGTTTCTGAATAATTGATAATAAAAAACTTACTAGAGAGCAAAAGCAAATCATGTGATTGCTCACTGTCATGCTAAAATAATGTTGCGCCTATTCCAAATATGGACACCTATTCCAAAGAAATGCTCAAACCTTGAGAACATTGGGATCAACGTTATGCTGACTTTATTATTCCAGTTGTATCAGTAATATAATCTTTCTCAAATTCATTTAGTCCAAGGCACTGATGTTTTTCTGTAGCACACAGTTTATTTCCACTTTGTAAAACATCACCAAAAGAATGACTGCTTGAATGTTGAGTGTATGTTAAGGGAAGAGAACTAACAGATGTCACTTAGCGTGCTGCTTGACCAAACTAAACTTTTCTACTAATTGATGGTTGGTGTCTGAATTGTACATTCCATTCTTGGAGTCTATTTAAATAAAGAAGTGTGTAAAATAATTTTGTCTGAAGCAGCATCTCTGTCACACAGCAGGAAATGAAGGTTTGGCATCTCTCCAAGTCACTGTAATGCAGTTTATTTTAATACCTCAAACCATATCATGAAATTGTAACTGCTCTTCTGATGTCCCTTTGAATGGCATTAAATTTTCTAACTTGCTTAAGACGAGGATCAAAGAGCCTAAAAGAAGTTACATTTATGAATTCCCAGCTGACAATTTCTTACCAGTATCCCCCCATAAAAAAGGAGTGCGTAAATGAGGAAGTCCACTTATTGTTTTGAACGAGAAAATAAGTTTTTTCAGTTACGTTTTCATTTTTGTGATTTTAATACTGACACAAAGTGACAGTTTGTAAAATATTAAAGCCATTTGTCACCTTAGTTATTTTAACAAATAAATATCTGATTTATTCATATTGAACTTTAGTCCCATTATCAGTATTAACAGGGTATGTGATGTTGTGTAAAGCTAAAAAATGTTGAGAGGGACAACCACTTTTTGAGTCTTGGTGACAACATTGAACTGCAAAGGGTACTTTCCCCAATAATTTAGAAGAATTTTGCGAGTGCACTGAAAGAAACGAATCAGTGTCAGTAGTTTTTTTTATCCAGTTCAGTAATTTTATTACATGTACCTATTCTGTCTCTTTGGGGCTTTCCAACACTTGTTTTATTATTTAATTATAGCTGAAATGCTTTGACCTCTCAAGAGCAAGGGTCATTTTGGAATTACAGAGTCTGGCCATCAGTTTCATTTCCATTTTAGTGTCTGAACTCCTAGAGTTTTTAGGATAATATAGGATATCAGGGTTTGGGAGCCTTGCGCGGTAACAAAAGTCCTCCTTGACTACTATTTGCATGGTTATTATAATATTGATTATCAATTCAAAGAAAGAATTAAATTAACCTCTCGTCTGTATTTTTTTAAATTCTCTTTAGAGATGGAAACATAACGTGCATATTCATGATCTTCAAAGATTTGGATGACATTTTGAAAACTTTGTGTGTTGTCAAAACCTCGTAGACACAAATTTCTAATAGATTTATTCAATTAAATGCAGATGTTGTGCTGAGGTGGTTTTCAGTTGGAAGTGGTGTAACAGACAATAGCATGGATATCCACAATCACACGCAGACAACAATAGGCCGGTGAGGGGGCTATTCAGCCAGCTGGATCATTTATTATATCAATATCTTATTACTGTAAATGATCTCCGAAATGTTGCTCAATCGACCTGTGGTTAAGGTGGGATGAATATGTAAAAAAATATCATTGAACCACAACACTTTTTCTATCCAATTTTTCTTGTAGATGAGGCACGTTTTCTGGAGAGTTATGGATATTTTATGCAATTATTACAATCCAACTGTAAATATGAGATCACCCTGCTACTTGATGTGAGGAATCAATGCTGGTGGTGTGACTCCATCACAGGAGGGGGTCTGTTAGGGCACGCGCGTGCGGCCACTAGCAGACAGGTGCTGCGGCCCTGTGCTGGATAAGCTGTGTGGGCAGAGTGTGCTCTGCGTGCTGGGCAGGCTCCCGGGACCATGAGGAGATCAACGTGACAGGATGCACCGCCTCATGACAACAGACACGGACAGTCCAGCTGCAGCCCATGCACAGGTGCACGTGCACGTCTTCTAGGACCGTGCAGTTGGTCCTGGGAAGTCTCTGCTTTGGACTAGATCATATGTTGTTATTGTTGTTATTATTATCATTATTAATATCATTATTGTTATTATTATTATTATTATCATTATTATTATAATCACCATCGTTATTTTTGTTTTTATTGTTGTTTTAAATATCTTTTGAGTACTGTATTTAATATCTGTCCCCTGACAGAAGCTTAATATCTTGTATTTCTGTGCCGCAGGCCAAAAGTCTTCGCGCCTAAAACGGCGGCAGTCTTCGTGTTTTCGCTATTGTGTGTGTGGTTTTATCTCTTTTCCTATTTCTAGGACACGTACTAGCAGCGACTCGCCTGTGGTACTCGGGGCCCCGCTGAACTCTCCTGACTGGTTCACCGCCAGCACGTTCCCCGCACCGAGCCGTGTTTCCATCCGCTTTCAGCATGGTGGTACACGGGACAGCACGCCCCGCCCTCCGCTCTGACGTCACCCGCCACCCGTCCAATCAGGCGGCGTCCGCGCGGGGAGGGGGCGGCGCCAGCGCCGGGGAGACAGCACCGCTTAACACGTGAGCCTCACGTGACAGAGGCAGGTCAGGCTGAGCGGAGAGTCAGAGGGCTTATTTAACTCGTCGCTCCGTCCTCCCCCAATTTCCCAACGCGCCACCGAGAGGGTTGACTTCCTCCCGAGGCGGCACCGCTGCGTGGAATTCGAGGGGGAAATAACTTGGATGCGTTTTCATGCCTAAGACAACGTTTTTCACCGACGATAGAGTGGAGGAAATTAAGAGACAGTAAACATTTTTGAGAAAAAATTTCCCCCCCCCAAAGCTTTTCAAACTGCGTTGCAGCCGTCTGGCGCGTAAATAAATGCGCGTTTGACCGTGAATGAGCAGGAGCAGAACGTCTTAACTTTCAGCCCGTGTTTTTTTTGGGGAGTTGAGAGAATGGAGCGAATTCCCAGCGCGCAGCCTCCTCCTCCTCCTCTGTCCATCCACCAGGCGGACCTGACGGACGTGCAGGGGTAAGTTCCCGAACTGCGCCCTTTCATTCACTTGACTTCTTCCTCGGACTTGCTCGATGGATCATTGCTATAAAAAGAAAAAGAAAACCAAATCTCACTTCACATCTCAACTTATGAACTCTCCTTTTAATTATTCAGAGTGGATTTCCCGATGTATGTCTACAAACCGAGGCGAGGAATGAAACGAGGAGAAGAGAGCAAGGTATGTTATTTTTTTCTCTTTAAACCACTTTTTAATTATTTATTTTTTTAATCCATTGCTAACACGTCACCGGATAGATTTATGTGTGCATTCTCCATGGGAGGAATCAGAGTGGCGGTGGTTCCCATAAATGGTTGACCTAATTCCCGCTGTGACATAACTCCTGGATTCCTCCCTATGGGTGTAGCTGCCTCTGATCATTAAGAATTTATGCAACGTTCCTGTTTATCCTCGCAGGACACCTACAAGCTGCCCCACAGACTTATCGAGAAGAAAAGGCGGGACCGGATAAACGAATGCATCGCCCAGCTGAAAGATTTACTACCAGAACACCTGAAACTCACTGTAAGTTGCCTCTGCGGTTGGGAAAAATAATAGGATTCGTCAGGGCTGACGATTGCGCCATCTAGTGGCCACTGAGTGGTATTCCACCTGTGGGAGGGGTCACCATTCCCACTGAATGGCACCACTTTTCAAAGTGTCCTCTGTCACTTGTCACTTTTTTTTTTAGACGTTTATTTTATCTTTTTAGAACACGAATCGTTGATACAGTAAGACTTGATACTGTGGGTAAAATAACTTTTTCTTATCGTGTTTTAGCCTCTAAATTTGAGATCTATGTATTAATTATCTATGGTTGCTATCAGACACCCGTGTGGCAGGAGAGGACACCTTGTGCGCAGCAGTAAAACAGCTTAGTCTCTGTGAGTTATGTAAGCGGTTGGGATGTGCTGACTGTGCGTGTCTCCCCTCAGACTCTGGGCCATCTGGAGAAGGCTGTGGTTTTAGAGCTCACGCTCAAGCACGTGAAAGCCCTCAACTCTCTTCTGGAGCAGCAGCAGCAGAAGTTACTGGCCCTGCAGAGCGGCATGCAAATTGGTGAGAAGCATGTATTTACACGCACGTGCAACCGGGTTGTCAGTCAAGACTGCTAATTATTCAAATGAATGGGTAATGACAGGCATGAATAATGGAAGCAATTAATTAACCTCAAGTGTAATTTTCTGGAAGATTTGCTACCACCTCTTATCTGCTTGAAATGCAGAGATGCTGATCGTGTGGTTTCCCATGTTCTTATAGATCAACCTCCTGCCAGCCAGGAGAAGTCGGAGGAGATGTTCCGCTCTGGCTTCCACATGTGTGCCAAGGAGATCCTTCAGTACGTAGCTAATCACGAGGCGGACGGAGACTTCGCGCCTTCCCACGTCATCAGCCACCTTCACAAGTTAGCCGCAGATGTCCTGCAGGGTCCGGTCCGAGCCCGCACCCCTGCCAGCCCTCGACTCGAGGAGGCCCCCGTTCACCACCAGCACCCGGCTCACAAGGAGACGGCCGCCGGCCTACCGGCCAAATCCAGCGAGGGCTACGGGAGGAACTGCGTGCCGGTCATCCAGCGGGCGTACGCTCCTCCCAGCGCCGAGCAGAGCGGCAGCGACACAGACACGGACAGTGGCTACGGGGGGGAGTTGGAGAAAATGGAGTCCAGGGCGCGGCAGGAATGTCCAGATTACTACGGGGCCCAGAGCCAGCAGAAGCGGCCGCTGGGCGACAGGCAGGGCTCCGGCATCAAGCAGGAGGAAGACGAGCCCCGGCACAAACGCCCCCGCGTCGAGTCCTCCGAGGATGAGCTCCTGTCAGGCGGAGAATCATCCACCTCCTCCTCCTCCAGCGGCTACGGCAGCTACATGAGCGTGTCCCCCAACCACCCCGCTCCTCCGCCACACCCCCTCTGCATGCCGTTCTACCTCATTCCGCCTTCCGCCGCAGCCTACCTGCCCATGCTGGAGAAATGCTGGTACCCCGGAGGCGTGTCCATGCTCTACCCGGGCATGGGGGGCTCCTCACCCACTATGGCCGGCGACAGACCACAGCCACCTCAGTTAGTCCTGTCTCCAAGGGGAGGCTCTCCAGCCCCAGCCATATCCCAAACCCCTATGGACTCCCCCGCCCTCCTCCAGGCTCTAAAGCAGGTACCACCCCTCAACCTGGAAACCAAAGAATAAGTGATGAAGGAACAGACAAAGAGACAATCCTGTTCAAGTATCCAGTGGCAGAGTCAGTTGTAGGCAGGAGATGATGATCCAGCTGCTCTATAATCCATATTCATTCAACTCCTCTTTTTGTCAAAATGGAGGTCAAAGTGAAAGGAGGTTGATTAAGGAGACAGACGAGAGCAGCAGCCACCCACAGCTGGAGGAGGGCAAAGCTCCGGTTGAATGTTCTAAGCTCAGGCAGGCAGACGTATCGTACATACTGGTCCTGCCCTGCACATATGCACACACATACTTGTTGGTTGAATGTAAAGAAAAGACGAGTTTAAGTTAGATGCTGCTGTTAAAGTGTTAACACAGAGGAAACCGATGCCTCTCATTTGTGGCCGTTGTTTAAAAAAAACACGTCATCTTGTACTTTAGAAACTTTTACACCAAATTAACGGTAATTAGTCACCCAAAGTTTGTTGCCCATGTCCTTTGCTCACCATTCTGATGACGGGATATGCCTTTTGAACTAGACATTACGTTGACTGTCACCATAAAAGAAAAGATGGTCCTCTAGTGTGTACGTACACTGGTTAGGGTTCAGTCGTGGTGGAAGAAGGGATCGGTCGCTCCAGAGCGGCCAAAGAAAAGGAGTTGTCCCTTTTTTTTTTGTTGTGAAACCGAAAGTTGACATGAATTCCTGTAATTATTGTCCATAAACTTCTTGTATATTTCTATTTTTGATACCTGTTCATACACTCAATCCACCCAGAGAGTTGGAGGGGGTGCGGAGTGTCAATAATGTCGTTTACTCAGAAAATGTGTACATTCTGTAGCACTGTGCTGGACCTGGTCTGCATTCTCAACATCTGTTTCTGCTCAAGTCAAACCCGGTGTTTGTTCTTGCTGTTGCCTTTTACTTGTGACAAGCTGATAAATGTCAAATGTTTATTCTCTGTGCTATGTATGAAAACTGGAGACAAAGAAGTAAGAGAGACGTGAATGTAAGTTTTACCAGAAGACTAGTTTTCTATAGAGAGAGGTACTTAAGATTTTATATTTTGGGACCTAAAGAGAGATGTTTGATGTACATATTTTTGTCTATAAATGTTGATATACATCATATAAGTGTATTAATAAAGTATTTTTCCCGTGGAAACTTGCTTTGACCTCATTTCTTTAAGTGGGATTTGGTTCAGATCAATAAACCTGCTCCACATCAACATTAGTGCCAACAGGTAGACATCTACTGTAGATTAAAAACACATTCCACTACTGCTAAAAGATTAGTACAAAATAGAATAATCTATTGTTCCCATTGTCATTTTCAAGCAGAAGGAGTATTGTTTTGTTCTTCATCAAAAGCTCTGACCTATAAACTAAAAAAGTGCATTTTGGAGCTGGGTTTTTTTGGAGAAGAAAATTCAAAAGGATAAAGTTCCTTCAAATGTTTAATGTTCAATACAGATATTCAAATCAATTGTGCTTTCTAAACCAATTCAAAATTAGTTTCATGTTAGAAAGCTGAGGCTTAACTTACTTATTAGTTGTTGGGTTGAATGACACTGATAGTGCTTAAACAGATTATGTAATTGTTGGTTATAACATTTTCGAGATTAAGATTGACAAAAGATTGTCTGGATACCAACAGAAATATAGTTGATCAAATATGTGACAACTAAACATAAAATGAAGTACAGGTCATGAACATTTGAGAGGGACCCATACATTTGTATATAAAGCCAAGATATAGCCCATGCAACCTGAACATTGGCACTTTATTACCACCTGCTGGAAGAGAAAGGGAAAGGGAGAAAGTCAGGAAATGTATTGACTGGCCACTAAAATGCATGAGAAGGTTTTGTCAATGGATCAAATGTAGTGACACATCGTCACAAAAAGCTGGTCCATTAGGCATTCACATGTAGGGCTGGAAAAATGTTGAACAATCATTGAAATGTTTAACACAAAGTGCTTGGTATAAAAAAAATAGTAGATTGTGCTCATTATTTGTTTCTCAGCTCATGGAAACAACTAAATCTATTTAACTTGCTCAGCTGCTTTCAATCACCTCAGGACTAAATCCCTTTAGAACTTGGGCTCTCCTTTGCATCTGTCAGTGCTTTTTCTCTTTGTGAATGAAAGAACGCCTGATGCCTGTAGATACTTGGATAGGATGAAAAGGCAGAGTCACGATGGATAAGAGTTTTGGTCCCTTTATTTGGCTGCAAATGACGAACCTCCAGACTTGGTAAGGGACAGACCTGAGCAGAAATCCTATGATGGGGCTCAAAAGTCATTTTAGGAGTGAATGATTGGGAAATATGTGATCCATGAGTTGTACTGGACCCTGACATGCCCAGAGGTGGGCTGAGGGAGAAGGAAAGACTTCTTGGCACAAGGCTCGCTCCATTAACAGAAAGACTCAGACCCAAACTTTGTGCTTTCTTCTGAGGTTTGGTGTGTACCACTAACGCCTCGTGACAAGACCTGCGCACACAGGGAGCGTTCTGAACTTCTGCTCTCCTCTCGCATTCTCTTTTTCGAGAATTATATGTCTGCACGGCCTTTCTCTCTTTGTTCTCCTTTTCTGAGGGACAGAAAGCCATCGTTGTGTGTGGCTTTTGGCCTGACGGTCCATCTCCTGGCCCAACCTCCACTGGAGCTGACTGGACTGATGGGAGGTGGACGGTGGGAGGTGTGTTTGGAGTGACGGTCTGTCTATGAGGCAGAGGCCTTGGTTGACGAAGGGCGGCTCCCTCCACCATCAGATTTACGCCCAAACAGTGAGGAACTTCTACTGCAGCCTGCAAAGAACTTGAATTGTGAATTTTGTATAGCATCAGTCATTCAAAAGAATGGAGGTGGAAAAAAAGAACAATATTTAAATCTTAAAATAGAACAACCTGTTTGTAGATTAGCTGGAAGCCTCCCGTGTAAGCATTAGGATTAGTCCGTCGGTCCAGGACAACCCTCAGCGTGTCTATCTGCACAGCGCGACAAAGCCGTGCAGTCACAGGAGTGGAGCAGGCCATAGTGGGGCTGGCATTGATCTCCAGAAGCCAAGGCCTTAGATCTCTGCCCAACATAAAATCGGCTCCGTAAAGCCCAAAGCTTGCCTTTCGGGGCTCGACAAAGTCTTGGGCTGTCTGCAGAGCATTGACCACTGCTTGCTGCATGCCTGGGACCACCACTGACTCCCACTCTTTCTCGCGACCCTGTCCTTGCAGAAATGAACGAAACTGAGAGCAGGACCACATGTTGTCCGCGGGCACTCCCGGATGGCGGTCACAAGATGGCTGGAAGTGCCTCTGGATGGAATTGTTGCACAGGTGAACGGAGCTGAGGAGAAGACAGGAAATTAACACAAGTGTCAAATGTGCTAAAAAGGACAATCCAACGTCTTTATTGTCCGATCCTCTGTCTGACCTGTCTAGTATTTTTGTTGAGTAGGGCTGAGTGGAAAAACGGATGTAACACTCCTTGTAGAACCAGACAGTCAGAGGGTTCCAGTCGGTAATGAGGAACCACTGGCGTAGGTCAAACTTGGTGTCATAGATCAACAGGGGGCGCTCCAGGTATTTCTGAACTACCCACTTGCTCTCCTTCATCGGGGATCTGTTAGCATCTACAAGTGCCAAGATCTCATCCAGGCGATTCATGCACATTATTCCTGATAGCAAGAGGCAGGGAGACATGACAAAAAGAGGTAATATAAGAATGATGTCAAATATATATAGTAATTCCATCTTTAACAACAACAAATTAAGATGGGTATGGCACTGTATATTAAGCTGTTATTCATATATATTTTCATTTAATCGTGATAGTAGAGAAATGTAAGGTATTGTACTGAGACATAAATAGCTCTTTTTTTTATAACTAAAATGGGAGGAAAATAAACCCCACATAGGATTACTGTTTAACTGTTGTTTTAATGATAATGAGGAGCTTCACCTCTTCCTCTTGACATGGCTCCTGGTTTGATAATCCAGATATTATTCAGTCCATCAGTGTCCAGCTGAGGGCAAACTTCCTGTAGTTTGTCTATCATGGCCTGACAGCGCTCAACAAACACACCACTGTCCCTGATCACCACGCCTTTGCTACAAATATGCAATGTTAGAATTACAAAAGTTGTACATAATATTGTGCTGTTGAAATTCATTTAATGTAAAACATTCCTAATAAATATACTAAAGAAAACCCCAATCAAAAGTACTGTAGTCATGTCCAGCATATTGACACTGAATCACACAGTAAATTCAAAATACACAGATACCAATGGCCTGAAATAAAACAGGTAAAGTTACCATATAATGAAAGCTCCCCGAAAATACACTCACTGCACAACCATGTAGTAATCCCGCAGAAACGTGGTCCACTGTTGTTCCTCCACAAAGGGGGCCGTCTCTGCAGTTACATCAATGTCACTATGCTTTAAAACACTGAGAAACTCTTGACACACACGTAAAGCTGTGTCAATCATCTCTGGGCCCACAAATCGATGTTCCATATCATTTGACTCTGGAGAGAGAGATACCATTGGTTTGGAAGGAGAAGGTGGCTTCTTATTTTTCATCATACAACACATAACATACTGTATTTATATGTCTGTTTTACTGGTACCTCCTGGTTCATAGTTGCTTGTTGTTTTTTCCTCGTACTTTACTTCTTCTCTTTTTGTCTCAACCACATGCTGGAGTAGACTGGTGCAAGCAGTCCTCCTGAAGTCCTCTTCATTTTCCAAGTTAATAAAAAAAAGGAATATAGAAGAGTGAAGACAGACCACAGGTAAGCTGATTGCGAAATAGTTACACTATCAGATACTTTTTTCCCTTTCAAATTGAAAAGTATTGTTGTCTCATTTATCTTAATACTACCTAAAATAAAAAAAGTTTTTTCTAAAAAGAAGAAATTTTGGGCTTTGGGTTGGAGTAATAAGGTCACATGGCAGACCTATGAATGCCTGTCTATCATCCTCTGCCCCAAGTCTATAGCATCTGGGAAAGAAGGAATCAGGATCTGCAGCATCAAACCACTGAAGGTTGCGCAGATTCATGCACAGCCCCACCTGAAAGAAACACAAACATAATAAACAAAGAGAACGGAGGGGAAAGTTTAAGAAAAAAATTGTTTCGTTCAGTTATTAGAAACTCTCAGAAACCTTTGTAGTAAATGATCCAGAATTTGCAAAGTGATTGATCATCTGGTCATTCTGTAAGAAGTGACAGTCTATGCAGTCCCGTCGAGTCGTCCAGTAGAAATATGTTGTTTCATTTCGAACCAGACGAGACTAAGAGAAGTTATGAGTGACAAAAAGACACACAAAAATGAGTGATTTACTAGGAGCAGTTTATATGCTTTGCAAAATGCCAGTACTGAGCTGGGTCTTTCGATGCTATCTTACCATGAGGTCATACATGTAATCAAGGTTCTCATCTTTCTCCCCTTCAGCAACTTTCTCTGTTAAAAATAAGAAATGTCTGTTTGAAATAATTGGTTTAAAGTTGCAATAGGTTTTTTGTCTGCACTATCATCAAAATGTTTCATTTTTTAAGCGAGGAAACATCATTCTGAGCAGGAATCAAGTGGTGTGAATTTCAACTTTAAGAATAAGTGTAAGGGCTTAGATATCACTTCTTTTTATGTGTGAAGGACCCTTTCATAAACCTGACATTTCAATATGTGTTACACCACCATGACAACTTTTTACACTCATTGCTCACCAGCAAGAACAGGATTGGCATTTCCATAACTATCATCCTCCTCCTCGTCACCGTGGCAATGAGGTGCTCTGTGGACTGGACTGGGCAGACGCCGTTCCACCCACCCTCTGGCCAGTAAGGCAGCACGGATCACAGGATAGGACCCGCGCACTGAAAATACCTTCCTCAACTTAGAATGAGCAAAGGAGACATTGTCAAACAACAAACAATGGAGGGACGGCGCTGCCATATGATCTGTTTTTATGTGTAAACACCTTCAGGGCTTTCTCCACCACTGCTTTAGCTGTTCGCAGCCTGTCTGGTTTGATTGCAGGCAGGCTTGGCATTCTGCAGTGTAATTTCCCCCTCACTCAAGACACTAAACACTAAAACACTGGGACAAATGTATTGATCAAATGGAGAAAAATCAAAACCTAAAATACGAAGGCTTTCTTCAAGCAATATCTGTTGACTTACCTTGCATTTGTTGCTGATCCAACCTCAAGATAGTTTCCCCTTACACCGATAAGGAAGAGGAAGATCAAATACAGGGTACAAAACCACCCTGATTCAGGAATTAGGATGTAAGCGTGGAAGCAATTTCCACTCCGCCTGAAAAATAAAGAGCATGCTGTACTATAGTTTGACGTTTGGCATCCTCTATGTGCAGCACCTGATGTAAATTGGGTCAAGTAGGCGTTTTAATTCGGACTAACTGTGCGTACCTAACAACAACAAAAATCCCCCACCAGACATGCACAACAATTTTGCTTGTACAGTCACGGTGAAAGACCACAAATTCAAATAGTCTTAAAACGGTTCTCGACCAGAAATAAATCATTTGCAATATAGATGTCAATTCTCAAACCCATGATGGGTTGTGACCCCACCGCTCTGACCATAGAGCCTCTCCGTCCAGCTTCCTTCACTGCCCCACACACTGTTCCCATAACAACCGCCCCACGCTCCCACGGCATGTTTACGGTTGCTATGGCAACCGTAAGCAAAAGGAACTGAAGGGCTGTGCCAGTCGACGGAATATCCCACACGTCTACCTTTGTGGCCAGAAAAAAAAAAACGTGCACTTACGAATTATGATGGCTCTCACGTGTATGCAACATGCACAGAAATAGTCTGAGCGACCGTAACGACGACGGGCTGTCGTTTGTGTGGAGCTTGCAATCTGAGCTCGAGCTCAGCAAACTGATGAGATCACGTGGCTAAAGCGGGAAAACTCGCTGAACTAAATCCTCTCAGGTGTGGCAGGTCCGCTGTCTCGCTTGTGTCTTGATCGAAGGGTCACGCAGAGGTCTGTGAGGAGGGAAACGTGTCCGAATCACGGCTGCAGGATGGTTAATTTGGGTGCCATCTTTGGTAAATTACGTATTTTGTATAAAGACGTGATACCTGGACAACATGATGCCTATGCCTGTGCACAGGTCTGAACATAAGGCTAGGGCGTGTGGCTTGAGTTGCAGTGTTTGTACCACCAGATGGCGCCAGAGGCTTTCTAATTTCTTCTGAACAAATGCATTGTAATTCAAACATCTCAATTAAGTGAATATTACTGCTGTAAACAATATTAAACATCATTAATCTTTCATGAATTTGGTCGGTGAGCACCATGAGTAAGCTCTTTGTTGAGTTCTGTAATTAGAATGATATGTCTACAAGGTAATATGCAAATTTTAAATTGGGGAATGATGCACATATATGTATATATCTTTCGAAATATGTCTTTCTTTTATATCCAGAATCATAGCATGGATTTCCAACATATTCTCTAGATTTCAAGAAAGTTTAGGAAATCATGAACTTTTATTCCGTCCACTCGAAGGTTTTCAGAAAACAATTCACTTTGAATAGCAGATATCTTAAAATGTATTTAAGAAGGGCTGCATACAGGTGTGGTGTTTTGCACCACAGCTTAAGGGTTGCTCGTTCAAATCTAAGCTGGGGCCTTTCTGTGTGAAGTTAGCATGTCCTCCTTGTGAGTGATAGTTCCCTCTGGGTACTCTGTCTTCCTCCTACAGTCCAAAAATATGCGTGCTGGTTTAATTAGTGACAGTGATTTGACTAGGCAAGTGAATATGGGAGTTTATTTGTTTCTATGTTAGCTAGACAACAGGGTTGTCCATGCTGTACCCTGCCACTCTGTTTTCAAAATATTTTCTGTCATCATCTAGGTGCTTAGCAAAAACATACTCTTATCTTGAAGTAGCAGTGCTATAATGCCTATAGTAATATTGTGGCTGGTGAGTTCATTGTTAAACACAAAAATGTAAATTGACCTTTAGCTTTAACAAAGTCCTTAAAAGTCATGATTTCTTTATCTTCAATTTTCCTTAGATTACAATTTTCCAAGCACATTTCACTTTCAATCTGCAGGCTTGAATGTGGTTCCTGGGATTTTCAGTCGGAGAATCGGAGGCAAAGGCGGAGGGTACTTTGGCTCCTGACCATGGAAGTGCACGGAGTATACATACATACATATGTACAGTATATATATGATGTATTTTTTTTAATGTTTACGTCCTTTTTTACTTTGTCTTTTGAAAGTCAGATAAGCTGAATGTAAATTAAATCAGATGATAGATAGATAGATAGATAGATAGATAGATAGATAGATAGATAGAT